TCGTCACAAACCGCTCACTGTTGGCAGATATAGCCAACCGGGCTGGAGTTGCTGAAAATTCTGCCCCCAACCTCAGGCTCACCAGGGGAGACTCAGATGATGGACAGTACCTGAGGCCGATAGACAGAAATACAAACCAGCCCGACCACCCTGGAGATTCCCCACATTCTCTGTCACACAAAGTCCCGGTTTTCCTATAAAAATCTCACAGAAAGAGCCATAAGTTAACTTGGTCTTGCACTAAGTTCCTCCCCACCTGGGGACCTTCTTTTCTTTTTCTCTTCTTATTTCCAATAAACTTTCTGCTTTCCAACTCTGAGTCTGAGCGGCTGAAGCAATAGCACAGCGGGTAGGGCGTTTGCCTTGCACGCGGCCAACCCGGGTTCGGTTCCCAGCATCCCATAGGGTCCTCTGAGCTACCGCCAGGAGTAATTTCTGAGTGCAGAGCCAGGAGTAACCCCTGTGCATTGCCAGGTGTGACCCAAAAAGCCAAAAAAAAAAAAAGGCTCTGAGTCTGAGAATCTTTATTATTCAATACTTTTATCCTTGAAAACATCGAAGGACCTGGGCACCGCAAACGGAAACCCACGACTGCTTCCGCCCTGTGTCTGCTTATCACACACATGGATTCCTTTCCCCTTGCTGCTGTTGCTGTCGTGGTGGTGGGGACTGTGTCTGTCAGGGGACATCGGCCACTCACTGTGGTGCGTGTGTGTGGCTGGACAGGTTTGGGGTACTGAGACTCACAGACAGCAGAGTCTGCCCCTGCCAGGAGCCTAAGTCACAGCCTGGGGACCATTCCCTGCACCCACTGATGTTATTTCCAGGGAGGATGAAACCCCTGCGGTGAGTACAACTGGGGGCACAAGGCATCCGGTGACCTCTGAGGGTGGGAAGCTCACAGGGGTCCCCTAGTCGCCAGGGAGAGGCAGTTGACCCCTTCACTGTGTGAGGTGGCCACATAGCCGGCCCAGTGGCCTGGGGGGAGCCTGACCACCCACTCCCAGGCCCCGTGGAAGGGCACCTCTGATGAGCACCACTGCCTTGGCTTACCGTCCTTCCAGAAGTAGCTAGGCAGCGGGGCCACCCCGAATGTCACTGCATCATCCTCACAGATTTTACACAACCTTTGTATGCAAAAAAAAAAAATCAGGCACAAGGAATTGGCCAGCATTGCTGAGAGCAGGGTGGGTGATTCTGTGCATTAGTGGCGGGTCTGCGAGTCTTCCACACAATAGCCCAGACAATAACGGAATAACCGTGTGGCTGCAGCCGTGTCTTTAGGGGGTTGGTCCTTGGGGCAGGCGAGCCGCAGTTTCAAGCTTGTGTTTTCCGGCGTTTCCAGTCTGGGACATTTCCACTGCTTGGATGGTTTCCTGCAGGCAGGAGCCTGGAGGAACCTCTCCTGGGAAGGTCAGATGATTCCAGTGTTGATGCGGTTCCAGAATGCAACATCTCTCCTCAGAAACTTGGTGTAAAATCGCTTTCCCTGGGGTCTAAGTTTCTCTCTCTGGGCTTGACTAGGTTGGTACCCCCAAGCCTAGCAAAGAGCGGCCGCTGACCCCCAAGCACTCAGCAGGCGGTTCTAGAGGGACTCCTAGAAAAACACACTTCCCCCCACCCCCCAAATATATATGGGTTATCTTGGAAAACATCTTGGTGAGCTTCATGTTCAAGCCCGGGGGTGGGTATAGGGCACCAACCGTGTCTCCAACTCTCTGGTCTTATTTCTGGGGGTCCAGGTTCAAAGCCCTTGTCCAGAAATGTTTGCCCACCCTCGCGTGGCGGGCTCATGGGGTGCAGACGCTGCTGCCAGGAGGCTCTGTCTTCCTGCAGGGGCAGGACCAGATGGAGCCCCTGGTCGGCTTCAAGGTCCTGGAGGCTTCTCCCACCGGTCCCCCGCCCCCACCCCGGGAATCCCATGGGGGGCTGGGGGGTAGGGGGGAATTTGTCAGCCAGGAAAGAATGCGCGATCCTCTGCCGCCCTCTGCTGGCCATCTGGAGACGTGCAGGCGGTGTTTGTAACGGCCAGTATGGGGGGGGGGGCGGGGGCGGGGCGGGCTGTGTCTAAGTTTCTGCTAATTCTAGAGGCAGATTATTATTATTTTTTAATTGCGTCAACCGTGAGCCGTGAGGTACACAGTGACAGAGCTGTTCATGCTCGGGTTTCAGTCATACGAAATTCCAACATCCGTCCCTCCACCAGTGTCCCCGGGTTCCCTCCCCACACCCCCAACCCCCACCCCCAGCTTCTTTTTCTTTTTTTCAAAAAATACTTATTTTTATTTTTCATAGTGTATATTGTTTTAGTGAATCTCTGTGAGATAGGCCCTTACAAATCAGTTCAGACAGCGTTCCAACACCCAGCCCTCCACCAATGCTCATTTCCCAGCACCCCTCCCCCACTCACCCCCAGCCTGCCTCTATGGCACTATGGCAGGCGCTTTGGGGCATTATGGTTTGCCATACAGATACCGAAAGATTACCGTGTTTGTTCCTTTCCCTATTTTTTTTTTAGCGTTTTGGGTCACACCTGGTGATGCACAGGGTTTACTCCTGGCTCTGCACGAGGGAATCACACCTGGCGGTGCTCAGGGGACCATATGGGATGCTGGGAATCGAACCCGGGTCGGCCGCGTGCAAGGCAAACGCCCTCCCCGCTGTGCTATGGCTCCAGCCCCTCCTTTCCCTCTTTTCAGCACACAGTTCTTCCCCAGAGTGACCGTTCCCAGCTCTCCTTATAGAGGTGGTTCTCTGTGCTCAACTGCCCTGAGTGGGAGGGGGGTCGCAGCGTCCAGCCTTACGGTCCAGCCCAGGCTTCACCACTACCTGCCCCCGGAGAGTGGGTGGAGGTCTGAGAGGCTTTGGATGAACCCGGAGACCCTGCTTCCCTCCTCCAGCCCCCCTGGCCAGCGGGACCCCGCAAGGCCTCTGCCTGAGGGATACTGAGATGCTCTTCCAAGGCGTTTGATTGGCTAGAGCAACACAGGGACTGAATTTAAGGGGGGAGGGTTCCCAGGGCCACACCGTGCAGCCCTCCGGTTTGGTCACAGGCAGAGAGGAACAAGTGGGTCCGACTCCAGCCCTGTCCAGGCCTCTGTCCACTCTGCTCTGGGCAGGGCAAGTCTACCCAAGCCTCCGTTTCCCCATAGGTGGACGGATGCAAAGCCAATTGGCCCAGAATCTGCCGTAGTGGTGTGTGGAAAGGGGCCGAGACTCCCTTTCCGCATGGGGAGGTGGTCCTGACGCAAAAGATGAGCTTCAGGAAGGGGAGGCTGCAGGGGGCAGCAGCCTTGGCCTGGGGGGAGTCCCGGCATGGAGGAGGCAGGGCGTCCCAGGGAGGGAAAGAGGCCCTAAGGATCCATCCGCTGGCCTCCGGATCTGGAGGTGGCGTGAGGGGATTTGTGGGCATCTGGGCATGTGCTCTTGAGGGGCTGTGAGCGTGGGAGCTCGGGGCGTCATGGGGAAGGTCCTGCAGGAGGGTGGAGTCAGCGTGGCAGGTGTCTGGCCTCCAGCTGGACATCATGTGGCAGGATCCCGGAACGCAGGAGCTGGACCAGGCCAGGAAAGGGAATGCAGTCCTGGGAGACTGCCTGGACAGGGCGGCTCTACCTGCTGGGGTATGTGTGCCGCTAGTCACCGTGTTTGCGATGCTTTGTCCCACCAGCAGAGGGAGCATTGTTTGGGCCAGGGGGTGTCAGGAGTAGGAGGGGGAAGAATTTCTGGGCAAAAGTTTAGGCCCAAAGGGGCTGGAGCGATAGCTCAGCGGGGAGGGCGTTTACCTTGCACGGGGATGACCCAGGTTCGATCTTCCTCAGCATCCCATGTGGTCCCCCGAGCACTGCCAGGAGTAATTCCTGAGCATCGCTGGGTGTGACCCAAAAGCAAACAAAAAAGTTTAGGGTTGAGGCTCTCCTGTCTGATCTTAGTCTAATCGACCAGGAGGGTTAGAGAAGGATTAAACTTTGGGGAGCAGACACAGGGATTCCCCCACTTTCTGGCCACAGTGACATGGCCTCCATCATGGGACTCAGTGATGCGTGGAAAAGTTCCCATTCTCACGCCTGAGGATCTCGGATAAAGGACGGGGCAGAGTGCCAGCCAGAGAAGGGGGACGGGGAGGACAGAGGGTGGAGGGGGGCGGTGAGCAGGGCAGCGGCCCCAGGGTGCCGGGAGGCCTGCAGTGGGGCAGAGGACAAGAGTGGGCTCTTCCCGCGAGACTTCGGGGGCTGTGGACATTCCCGCCCTCAGCCCCTCCCTGAAGTTTCCTAGCAGAGGCCTTGACGGGGCTGGTCCCCGATGATCCCTCCCTGCAGCCCGGAGACGGTGATCCCCACACGTGAGCGCAGCCACAGCCGGTGCTCCAGGCCACTGTCCCCATCTCTAAAAGGGAAGCAAGAACCACAGCTCACAAGACTCCCTGATAATAAGGGGCCCGAGGGAGGGAGGGCATTTGCCTTGCACACAGCCGACCAGGGTTCGATCCCCAGCATCCCATAGGGTCCCCCGAGCAACGCCCAGGAGTAATTCCTTGTTTTTATTTTTTATTTTTTGGCTGTTTGGGTCACACCCGCTGATGCTCAGGGGTTTCTCCTGGCTCTGTCCTCAGGAATTCTGAAACCGGGCCAGAGTGATGGTACAACAGGAAGGCGTTTGCACACGACTGGTCCGGGTTCGATCCCCAGCATCCCAAATGGTCCCCTGAGCACCGCCAGGAGTAATTCCTGAGTGCAGAGGCAGGAGCATCGCCGGAGGTAAGCCCAAACAAAGAAAAAAAAAAACAAAAACCAAAAATGCTCAGGAATCCAATCGTCAAAGAGCCTCACCAGAGACTCTTCGAGAACCAGCGCCCCCTGCCGACCGCGCTGCCGCACCGCCCTCGCCGGCCAGCGGCCTGCGCCTGCGCAGTGTGGAGGCGCTCGGGCCCGCCCCTCGGGGAGGGGAGACGTCCTCGGGAGGCCACGCCCACTTCCCGGGAAGGCGGGTCTTGCGCTGCGCACGTGACTCGCTTCCGGCTCTCCCAAGATGGCTGCGCCCAGGGCGGCAGCGTGAACGTCGGCGGCGGCGGTGGTGGCGGTGGTGGCGGTGCCCGTGGGCGCCGGAGTCTGAGCCTGGGCACCGGGCGCCATGTCGCGACTGATCGTGAAGAACCTCCCGGACGGGGTGAGTGTCGGGCCTGGGCTGGCGCGAGCGGGGGGTCGCCGGGGGGGGGCGGGAGCAGTGAGGGCCGTGAGGGTCCTCGGTCCTCGGCTCCTCCCTCCGTCTGGGGTTGGCGGGGAGGAGCGGCCAGTGCTCAGGGCTCCACGGCCCTCCGCGCCGCGGGGACAGCCCAGTTCCCGCGCGGTGCTGCTGCATCCGCTGCGCCCCCGGGGCCCCTCTGCCTCGCCGCGTCTGGGTCCGACCGAGCTCTTTAGAAGACCTCGGGGCGCAGAATGGGGCCCCCAGTTCAGTTTGCACTGGGTATCGTTAATAGACCAGTTTGGGGCACGGGGGCGGAGACTGAGCAGACACCTGCTTTGCACACGGCCGGCCCGGGTTCAGTACCCGGCACCGCCTATGGACCCGCGTGCCACGTCAGGCGTGAGCCCTGACCATCGCTTGGGGGGGGGGGGGGTCCAAAACAAAGCCAAGCGCTGGGCAGCAGAGACTTTACAGGGGACAGACAGGCGTTCGCCTGGCCTGCGGCCTGCCGTAGAGGGTCCCACCCTCAGTCTCAGCTGCTGCCCGGCTCGCCCCAGACCGGAAATCGGGACGCCTGGGCATCCCCCGTTTGGTCCCCGGGCCCCGGCAGGAATGGTCCAAGAGTGCAGAGCCAGGAGTAAGCCCAGCCTCGGTCTCAGCTCCTCGCTGGCCCCAGCCTCTCGCCGCTGCTTGTCCTATTTGCTGAGAAGAAGATCTGACTGGAGTGGGAGGTCGCATGGGACTGAGATAGCACGGCCCCCTGGCGCCACCAGGAGTGATTCCTGAGTGCAGGGGCATGCCTAAGCCTTGAGCACCCCTGTGTATGCCCCCGCCCCCACAAAAAAAGAGGTATGACTATGAGACTAGGCTGAGCACTGTGCAAGGAGCCATTAGGTAAAGTGTCGCCAGGCTCACCGGCAGCTGACAGGTGCTGGTGCCCATTAGCTGCGGGCCAGATGGGGCAGGCGGCACCCAGCTGACCTCCACATGTGAGCACAGGCCTGTCTCAGTCCTCCCTGGCAGAGGAGCCCTTGGGGTGCCTGCAGAGAGAGGGGGGAAGCCTGGGCTCTGCTCCCGCTGCTGGGGTCACAAGGATGAGGTGGGGGTTGCTGTCCCATAAGCTCAGGAGGCGGCTGGCCTGAGAATCCCGATCAGCTCGGGGGGGGTGGGGTGGACCAACAGCACTAAGGGTGGGGAGGAGCTGGCCAGGCTCGGAGGATTTCTGCAGCAAAGGGGGAAGGCAGCCGGGAACGGGGCGGGCAGCCCCGGGGAACCCCATCCCACCCCTCAACTCCCTCATTGTGGGAACATGGGGCTGAGCCAAGCTCAGCCGAGCTCCCACCCTCGGCTCCAAGGACCCCTCCAGGGCCACCCCCTCCTTGTGCGGCCCCGATAACCCCAGTCCCGGGCCGTGCGCGAGGCTGCTGAGATGGGTCAGGAACCTCAGGAGGAGGAAAGTCTCTTCCTCCCATGCAGCCGCCATCTCTGTTTTGAGTTTTCAGTCCTGTTCAGCCCCGAATGGGAGGGGCCCCTGACTGGAGTGAGGGGGGTGGGGGAGCCAGGTGAGGGTGCTTGGGGCTCCTTGGCCAGGTGGGAGCGTCCAGCCAGCTGAGGCTGTTTAAAGGCCTCGATCTGGGGGGGCAGAAGCCCCCATCACCTTGCTGGCACACCGTGTCCCTCTCGAGGAGTCTCCCGGAAGCCCTGTTTCTGGCCTTTTCCAGCTCCCCCATGCCGCCCACATCCCCTGGCTCGTGGCCGCACCTGAACCCTCCAGTGCCTGCCGGTGCCCCCACCTCCCCCATCTTCCCACCTTTGCCCACACTGGACCCAGGGGCACGGAGCATGGTCACACGTTCACAGGCGCTGGGTACTAGGACCTGGGAGCCGGGGGTCTGCGCTGTTCTGCCCACCCCAGGGCACCCCCTCGGCCCCTTTCTCTGTTCGCTGTTCACACACTCTCCATCTCCTGGCACGCCTGTCTGGAATCTTCTGGGCCTCCCTGTCAGGTGGGGGCAGGAGCCAGACCCCCGTGCTACCCCGGGGGTGCCCCTGACGCCCCCCAGCTCCTCCGTCTGCGCCCCCCCAGATGAAGGAGGAGCGCTTCCGGCAGCTGTTCGCCGCCTTCGGCACGCTCACCGACTGCAGCCTCAAGTTCACCAGAGACGGGAAGTTCCGCAAGTTCGGCTTCATCGGCTTCAAGTCCGAGGAGGAGGCGGCGGCCGCCCTGCGCCATTTCCACCGGACGTTCATCGGCACGGCCCGGGTCTCGGTGAGTCCGGCCGGGCGCCTGGGCCCCCTGTGCCCACCCGCAGCCCGGCTGTGCCGACCCCCACCTCCCGTTGAGGAGCACCTGCCTCACCGGCTTGCCCACCCGAAGGGCCAGTGCCCATGAGCACCGCGTACAACCCGGGGATGGAGCTAGAGAGGCCTTGCCCTTGGCCCCATGGCCAGCGGGCAGGCAGACAGGCCCCTCTAGGTCAGTGTCACCAGGCCTGGGGCCATAAGTACCAGGGGGTAATGAGAATAGAGGAGACAGCTTCTTTGTTCAGGCGCAGCCAGGAAGGCTTCCTGAAGGAGGAGGCTACCCCGTGTCCTTTACTTGCCTTTCATGGCTCTGATAAAGCACACGTGACACCAGTGATGAGAAGAAAGAGGGGGCCAGGTCCAGCCCGTGGCTCTCCCTAGAGTCCCTGACCCAGCTGTCTCTGGAGAGTGAGAGTCACAGCCTCCCCCAGACCCCACTCCCAACCCCCTCCCCAGCTGTCTCTGAGGGGTGAGAGCTATGTGCAGTCTCTTAGCAAACCTGGTTCCCCTGCTGGGCAGCAGGAGGGAGGGTGCTTATCCCACAGTGCTCTCCCAGCTGTTGCTTGTGGCTGTGCAACAGTACAGAACTGCTTGAGAAGCACAAAGGGGCAGGAGGACAGCCCCGCCTGCGTTCAGGGGGACTCACCAGCCCCCGAGGCAGCCCTTCCCGGGCTGCTCTTCCTCTCGCCCGACCCCCAGCCCCCTTGGGTGACTGAAGCCCAGACTCACGGCTCCCCAGAATCCGGACTGCCCCCCTGGCCTGGGCCGAAGCCACCTCCCAGAGCCGCTCAGAAATGCAGGCCGGCAGACCAGAGGCCCCGAGAAGCTTCTAGGAGCCGGCACGGGCGGCTCCAGTGTCTCCGCTCAGCCTCCCTCTCGCCCGCGCAGGTGGAGCTCTGCAAGGCCTTCGGGGACCCCAGCAAGCCACGAGCCTGGAGCAAGCATGCCCAGAAGCCCACCCCGGCTGAGCCCCCCTCGGGAGACACGGCCCCGGAGGCCCCCGTGGCGAGGAAGGTGCAGCCCCCAGGGCAGGGCAGGGCAGGGGGCGGCCGCAGGGTCCTGGAGGGGCCGTTCCCCTGGGCGCCCTTCCCTGGCCCCCCAGTCCCTTACCCACCGCATCCCGTCTTTCCCTTTCAGGGTGACAAGAAGAAGAAGGTGGTAGGAGAGCTGGAGCAGGTGAGGCCCAGCCTTGGGTGGGGGCCTCTGGGGGCGGGGCCAGGCTCAGGCTGGGGGCGGGGCCAAGCTCAGGCTGGGGTCCGGACCAAGCTGGGGGGCGAGGCCGGGCTCAGGGTCTGACCCCTCCAGCCCGGCCACCCCCAGCACCCCCCCTCGGCCCTCCTGACCCCAAGACCCTTCCCGCGCCACAGCTCCGGGGTGACAGCGAGTTCCGCGAGTTCGTGTCAGCCCACCAGAAGCGAGCACAGGCGGCCACGTGGGCCAACGACGCCCCAGACGCGGACACGGGGCCCCTGAAGGGCCAGGGCCGGCCATCCAGCGACTACCTCAACTTCGACTCGGACTCAGGGCAGGAGAGCGAGGAGGAGGAGGAGGAGGAGGCGGCGGCAGCCAGGGCTTCCTCAGGAGGTGAGGGGCACGCGGGGCGGGGGAGGCCGCCATCCACGGGCAGAGGTGCAGACAGAATCCACTGGATTTTGCTCGGTCTTTCCTGTTTCAAGGGGCTGCGGCTGGGGGGGTCCTGTGTGCTTCCCCACCCGTGGCAGGGCCCCCCCCGCGGGCAATCAGGGAAGGCCTCTCTGAGGAGGTGCAGGAGAGAGCCAGGCTGGACAGGCATCACAGCTCCTGTGTCCCGGCACAGCTCCTGTGTCCCGGCACAGCTGGGGTCGGGGTGTGTGGCAGTGGGTGAGGGGCCGGGGCTGGGCCTGGAGGGAAGAGGACAGGGGGTGCGGCTGGTGTCAGTGTCCCAATGCCGGGCTCACCCCCGCCTGCTCCTCCAGATGAGGCCGGCCCGGAGCGGGAGCTGAAGGCGGCAGCGCGGAAGGAGCTGTCGGACATGGAGTATCTGAGGGCCAAGGCCGTGCGCGCCCCGTCGCCCTCCTCCTCTTCCTCCTCCTCCTCGGGAGACGAGAGCGAGGACGAGGCGGTACACTCCGACAGTGAGGGCGCGGGGAGCCCCAACCAGGAGGAGGAGGAGGAGGAAGAAGAGGAGGAGGGGGGCGCCTGCCCGACCCCCACCCAGCAGGGCCCGACGAGCACAGGGGCCCCGCCCGGAAGTCGGAGGACCCAGGAGGCCCATGCCCAGGTGCGTGAGGGTCGGGGGTGACGGAGCTCGGGGTGGTGTGGGAGCCCCCAACACCCCTTCCTGCAGGACAGTTGAAGGTGGGGAGGACCAGGAACCTGGGACACCCCCCGTCCCTACCCTCTGACCCTCCCCGGGGGCCCCACCTGCTTCACCCCGCCCTCGGTGCCAACTTTTCCCCAGGCCGAGCAGCCGGCGCCCCCCAGGGAGCCCAGCACGCCCTACACGGTGAAGCTGCGAGGAGCCCCCTTCAGCGTCACAGAGGTGGGTGCTCCCAGGCCTCCAGGGGGGCTTCAGGCCTTGGCCCTTGCCCGTAGGACAGCCGAGTGGGTCCTGTTACAGCCAGTGGCTGGGGGGCGGGTGCTGGGAGGAGGGCTCAGTTCCTGGGGTCTGGGGGGGCTGCGGCCAGGGCGTTCCTGTCCCCACTGGCCAGAGGTGCCATCAGCCAAGGACTGTTGGAGTGTGACTTTCTGGCAGCGCTCAGGGTCCCTCCTGGGGGGGGGGGGGGGGCAGCCTGTCCCTCTCTGCCCGGCACTCCTGTCTCCCGGGCTCACGAGCCGGCCCATGGGTCCGAGACCCCCTTCAGGGCGCGGGCACCTGCCCAGCACCGCTGCCGCTGAGCCCTCCAACGTCTGGCTGAGTATCATCGAGTGCCCCCCACACACACACACACACCTGCATGGCCCCCCAGGAAACGGCATGGAGGGCGTCGCTGTTTCTGTTGGAGCGGGGACGTGGGGTGCTGGGGAGGGAGGAGCCTCGTGGGGCCTCCGGGGTGCAGCCCCAGCCCCGGTCTTCGCCTCACTGTGGGGCTGGGGGGCGCTTTTCCTGGGCAGAAAAACGTGGTGGAGTTCCTGGCCCCCCTGAAGCCCGCGGCCATCCGCATCGTGAGGAACGCACACGGGAACAAGACAGGTGAGGTGGGGAGGACGGGGAGTGGGGGGCTCAGGGAAGAAGGACGAAGAGTCAGGGAGGATGGAGAGGAGGAGAGCACAGGGAGTCGGGGGCTTGGAGGGAGACAATCGGGGGGACGGGGAGTCGGGGAGAGAGCACAGGAGTCGGGGGAGGGAGGACGGAGAGCTGGGGTGGATCCAGGAGGTATTTTCCAGCGGGGGGGAGGGGGGCTGGAATTCACAGCCCCGCCTTTGCTCACGTCCCCGTCCTCCCCGTCCTCTCCCATCCGCTCTTCCCCTGCCCGGCCCCTCAGGGTACGTCTTCGTGGACCTGCACAGCGAGGAGGACGTGAGGAAAGCGCTGAAGTGCCACCGGGCATACATGGGTACGGGGGCGCCCACTCCCCCCTCTGGACCCCGTTGCAGGGGGCAAGGGGCGCAGGGGTCCTCCAGGAGAGCCGCCCAGGGGGTGGTTTCGGACAGACCCACGGGGGCTGCCTAGAGGGGCCCCAGCATGGAGCGTGCCCGGCCCTTGGCCCACTCAGGAGGCCCCTGTGGCCCGGCTAGTGGCCTGGTGTGGGTTCCGGGGCTCTGCGGGGGCTGCTTTGCAGTGGGCCGTGCCTCCACCTCCCCGGGCAGGGCGGCAGGCGGGGCCAGGAACGCTCCAGAACTCAGGACGCCTGAGCCGTAGCACGGCGGCCAGGGTGACTGCCTGCCCGTGGCCGGCCTGAGGCTGAGCCCGGCACCCCATATGGTCCCACCCCGGGATTGGTCCCTGAGCACCTCCAGGTGTGACCCCCCCCAAGCCGGAGCACAACCCAAAGAGTCAGGAGCTGGCCGCTGGGCCGGGGCAGCCCTGGACAGGCTCCGCCTTGCGGCTGCACCCACCCCTCACGGCTGCCTCCTCCCCAGGTGGGCGCTACATCGAGGTGTTCCGGGAGCAGAGCGCCCCCGCCCCCAAGGGACCCCCACGTGGTGGCACCAAGGCCTGGGCGGGCCGGACGCTGGGGGAGCACGAGGAGGAGGAGGACCTGGCCGACTCGGGCCGGCTCTTCGTGCGCAACCTGCCCTACACCAGCTCCGAGGAGGACCTGCAGGGCCTCTTCTCCGCCTACGGTGCGCTGCGCCCACCCTCCCCGCCCTCCCCACGCACCCCCCCATGCCCTGCCCCCCTCCCCTGCCCTCTCCGCCCTCCCCGTGCTGGGCTTCCCCTCCCCACATGCCTTCCGCTCTGCGCCAGACCCAGCGGGTCCAGCTCACCTGTTGGCCCTCGCCGCCCTGTGTCCTGGCGTGGGGGGCCCGTGGGCGACCAGCGCGTGGGGCGGGGGATGGGAGAGATGAGCTGGAGCCCGAGGACGCCTCCATGTCCGGGCCTGGCAGGGTGGCGGGGGACCCCTCTGCCGCTGTCCCTGATCGGGGGTGGGGGGACCCAGCGCCTCAGGGCACCCCTTCATCTGCCGTCCCCCGTCCCCCCAGGGCCCCTGTCCGAACTCCACTACCCCATCGACAGCCTGACCAAGAAGCCCAAGGGCTTCGCCTTCGTCACCTTCATGTTCCCCGAGCACGCGGTGAAGGCCTACGCCGAGGTGGACGGCCGCGTGTTCCAGGTGCCCGGGGCGAGAGTGTCAGGGTGTGGGGCTGGAGTGATAGCACAGCGGGTAGGGCGTTTGCCTAACATGCAGCCGACCTGGGTTCGATTCCAGCATCCCATATGGTTCCCCAAGCACCGCCAGGAGGAACCCCTGAGCATCGCTGGGTGTGACCCAAAAAGCAAAAATAAAAGGTGTCGGGTGTGCACACCCAGCACCCAGCTACGCACACACATACACACGTGCACGCTTTGTACACAAGCTCACACACACACAGGCTACATATGCTTTACACGCACGCGCACACACACGCATGCTTTATACACATGCTCATACACATACAAACTATACATGCTTTACACACAAGCTGCACGCACATACTACACATGCTTTGCACACACTACACACGCATGCGTCATACACATGCTAATACATACACATGCTTTACACACATGTTCGTATGCGCGTGCTACACACGCCCACTTTACACACACGCATACATACACATTCACGCTTTACTCACACTTCACACCCTGCGGCGGGGGGCACCCCCGCTGGCCTGCTGCTAGCCAGCAGGGGCCCTGGGCCTCTCCGGTGGGGGCAGGAGGGGAGCTTCGTGGCTGATGCTGGCCCCGGGGTCCCGGCCCCCACCCCGCCCCCACCCATTCCCTCCTGGTCCCCCCCAGTAGGAAGGCGGGGAGTTCCCACAGTTCCCCCCACACCCCATCCCCATCACAGCACCCCCAGTGCCCATCGGCCTGACCCCCGGCCCCTGGCCCGCACCCGCAGGGCAGGATGCTGCACGTGCTGCCGTCCACCATCAAGAAGGAGCCAGGCGAGGAGGCCGACGGCACCGGCACGTCCTCGTACAAGAAGAAGAAGGAGCAGAAGGAGAAGGCGGCCAGTTCCAGGTCTGCCCCGACCCTTGACCCAGGCGGGAGGCAGCGTGCCCGGCCAAGCCGTGTCACGCCCTGGCTGTCTCGCGGGTGGGGGAGGTGGCGGCTGTCCCTGACACCCCGCGGCCTCTGCCCGCAGCTCCCACAACTGGAACACGCTGTTCATGGGCCCCAACGCCGTGGCCGACGCCATCGCGCAGAAGTACAGCGCCACCAAGAGCCAAGTGTTCGACCACGTGAGCGCCACCCCCCTCCTGCCACTGGTATAGGGGTTGGGGGCGTCCAGCCCCTGTCCCGGGCGGGCTGGCTCTGGTGGTGCTCAGAGCTGACCCCTCCCACCCACCAGCCCTGCGCTCAGTCACAGCGCTCACTGCCAGCTGTCCCCTCTGCCCACGTTGTCTGACTGTCCTGGGGAGACACGTGTGTGTGCACATGCATGCGTGGGCGGTGGGGTCGGAGGTCAGGCGCTTCTGCAGGACAAGGTCACCAGGGCCAAGGATGCAGAGCTCAGAGGAGTTGGGGGGAGGGGGGGACATAAGCCCCGAGTCTCCTGGGCCGAAGCTCCCGCGGGCGGGTGCAGGTGTGGCTGTGAGGGTCCTCCGGGCTCAGTCCCTCCCCCTCCCCCCCTAGGAGGGCAAGGGCAGCGTGGCCGTCCGCGTGGCCCTGGGCGAGACGCAGCTCGTGCAGGAAGTGCGCCGCTTCCTGCTGGACCACGGGGTCTGCCTGGACGCCTTCAGCCAGGTGAGTGCTCCGGGGGCCGGGTGGCTCGGGCCATGGGGACAGTCCCCCAACCCGTGCCCTCACCGCCACAGGCCGCGGCCGAGCGCAGCCGGACGGTGATCCTGGTGAAGAACCTGCCAGCCGGCACGCTGCCCTCGGAGCTGCGTGACACCTTCGGGCGCTTCGGCAGCCTGGGCCGGGTGCTGCTGCCCGAGGGTGGCGTCACGGCCATCGTGGAGTTCCTGGAGGCCCTGGAGGCCCGCAAGGCCTTCCGGCAGCTGGCCTACGCCAAGGTAGGGACCCCAGCGCCTGGCATCCCCCGCCCTAGCGCCTGGCCTGGGCTCCCAGGTGCCCACTCAGCCCCATTCCGCCTCAGCCCGGCCAGCGCCCGATGCCCCCCCCACTTCCTCCATGTCCTCCCTGTCTAAGGCACCGCACCCCCAGGCCTCAGTCTCACCATGTCCCCCGTCCCGCCTACCACCGCCCCATCTACAGCCTGGCGGGCTCTCAGTTCACCATCTCCCCTCCCTGCTCTCCCCCAGTTCCACCACGTCCCCCTGTACCTGGAGTGGGCCCCGATGGGTGTCTTCTCCGACTCGGCCCCTCCGAAGAAGGAGCCCCGAGACCCAGCAGCGGAGCCTTCTGGGAAGGACGGGGCTCGGGCAGACACAGGTTGGTGCCCCCGGGCGCGGGCAGGGGGCTGTGTTGGCTGCTGGGAAGCCCCTTCTGCCCAGACGCCTGCCAAGAACAGCTCCCGAACTGGAAGGTCGGACTTGGGAACCGGCTTCTGGCTGCTGCTGGCTGCCCGTCCCAGGGCTGCCATCGGAGCCGAAGATAGCGGGGCGACAGGGGGGCTGGGTGGCGGCATTTGCAAAGGTGGGGAGCACGGTGACCACGTGAAGACGGTACCTGCTCTAGGCACCCAATGGTGTTGCCTGAAATGTGATTTCTGATTCCAGTCGTGGTTTCAGCCAAGGACCACCCCCCCCACACACACACACACAGAGTCACACATCCCGCAGTGATCCTAGTGCCAGGGCGGTGGTTGTCAGTGGCACATGTCCAGGTGCTGGGCTGGAGGGCGTGGCCCAGCACATCCCCTTCTCTTTCAGGCAGGCCCAAGCAGGACAGAGTGTCCCCTGCCCCCTTGAGTCTCAGCGCCCATGCAGTAGGGGTAGGGACATTTTGCACCTCACTTCATGGATTTGTTCTTTTGGGGGGAAGCAGCACAAGCCCATGAGATCCCAGAAAGTGAGACCCCAGCGTCGGGAGGAGCAGATGACGTGCCCACCAAGACGGAGGTGCAGGAGGAGGAGGAGGAGGAGGAAGAGGAGGAAGAGGAGGAGAGCCAGCCCGGGTGCACCCTCTTCATTAAGAACCTCAACTTCAACACCACGGAGGAGACGCTAAAGACGGTGCGTGGGGTCCCAGTGGAGCAACCCTCCGCCAAGTTCCCCGGCAGCCCCCCACCAAGACTTGGCGTCCCCAGAGCCAGGGTGGGGGGCCTGGTCGCAGGGGGTCTGGGTCCCCGGAGACCAGGGTGAGACGCGGGCTCCGTGGCATTCACCAGCCAGAGGGCATTCAGGGCCCTGAGTGAGGTCGGGGAGGGAGGGGCAGCGCCCCGGCTTTCAGTGTGGGGGGCCCTGCTGGTGCCGGGGTGCTGGGTGGCCCCGAGCAAGGTGGGGGTGAAGCGGTTTTTCCAGAGCAAAGTGGGCAGAGAAGGGCCCTGGTGGGCAGAATCGGGGTCTGTGCAAAGGAATGGGTTGGGGGTTGGGGTGGGGGGCTGTGTGCTGGGGGCTCAGTGGTCAGCTCTCGGGAGGTACGTGGTGGCGCTGTCCGAGGTGCTGAGCACGCTGGTCACTATGCTTGGCAGACGCCTGCTGCCCACACGGCACTTCTTATAGGTTAGTTTGGTTTGGGGTCACACCCAGCAATGCTCAGGGGTTCCTCCTGGCTCTGCACTCAGGAATCACTCCTGGCAGTGCTCAGGGGACCCTATGGAATGCTGGGAATCGAACCCCGGTCGGCCACGTGCAAGGCCAACGCCCTCCCTGCTGGACTGTCGCTCCAGTGGTTTGAGCCTGTGCCAGCTCGGCCTCTGGCTCTGGAGAGGGGCCGTAATGGTCTCTCCCTCCTGGGCCCACGGGGACTGGCGGAGCGGACACAGCCCAGGACTCAGGGCAGGAGCCCATTTCCTCCAGCCCACAACACCCCCCCTGCCCACCCTGACCCCCCACCCCACCCCTGGGACCCCGACCTACCACTCACGCCTGACCTTTGCAGGTGTTTTCCAAAGCGGGGGCTGTGAAGAGCTGCTCCGTGTCCAGGAAGAAGAACAAAGCAGGTACTCCTGACCCCACCCTCTGGGGGGCCTTCAGGGCGGGAACAGGACTTAGAGGGCTGCTGTCTGGGCGCGATTCTGGAAGCTTCCGGCCTAAGACTGGGGCATGTGAGGATGGTTCCTTCTGAGGCCGGGAAGCTCATTGACTGATGCCGGAGCTGAGACTTTTCCCAGAAGGAGCCGGGGGGAGGAGAGAAGACGGAGCATTTGCGGGGGGCTCTGTGCCCGCCCGGCGCTGTCCCCCAGTCACCTCTGCAGCCCCTCCCCCACTCTTCCAGGGGCGCTGCTGTCCATGGGGTTCGGGTTCGTGCAGTACAAGAAGCCAGAGCAGGCCCAGAAGGCGCTCAAGCAGCTGCAGGTAACGGGGGCCTTGGCCGCACCCTGGGGGACACTTGGGAAGCAAGTGGGCGGGGGGGGGCCTGTCCCCCGAAACCAAACCGAAGCATAGGCCAGTCCCCAGCAGGGCAGCCCAGCTCCGAGGGGGAAACGGGCTAGGGACTGCTCTGCCCCCTTCCTGGGGCACACGCTGGTGACTGGCACAGATGCCCTCGGCGGGCAGAGGGGCCCGCTGCCCCCACTGGCGTGACCCTGCCGATGACGGGCTGTGTTTTATGGGGGGCTTCAGGGATCACCGGGAGTGATTCTGCTAGTGCCGGGCTCCACCCCAAGGGACTGGCTGGCATCTAACCCCATGTGGGCAGCAGGGCCACTGCCACTTGGATGCTTCTAGACCCCACGGAGGACCTTAAGCCTCCCCCCAATCCCTATCCACTGCCCGTCTGTCCCATATCTGCCCATCCACTGCCCACCCTTCCCCCACCTGCCCGTCCACTACCCCTTCATCCCCCGCTTGCCCATCCACTGCCTGCCTGGGAACCACATGCAGCCAGGGCCAGCTCAGGCTCTGGCAGGCACCAGAGGCCGGGCCCACCCGCAGCTGCCAGGAAAAGCCGCCCCCAGGGGGTAGCCCAGGGTTCAGTTTCTTCGGGGACTGAGGGAGGAGTCGTCTGTCTGTCCCCCAGGGCCACGTCGTGGATGGCCACCAGCTGGAACTGAGGATCTCGGAGCGGGCCACTAAGTAAGTGACCCCCCTGCGTGTCCTGGGTCAGACCCTATGGGTGTGGGTGGGACGTGTCACCCTCACGGGCAGGTGGAGGCCCCAGGTCCCGAGGGGTGACCTAAGCCTGTGCCCAGATCCCAGAGGCCAGAGGGGACATGGGGAAGGTCGGGCAGTGTGAGGGGCCCCCGGGTCCCCAGATAGGAGGTCCTGGGCCCCCTCCGTGATGAGGGGGCTGGGGGCAGGTGCCCAGGGCCAGGGGACGCTCTGAGCCAGGATCCTGAGCCCGTGCCCCCCGCCCAGGCCAGCCCTGACGACCGCGCGGAAGAAGCAGGTGTCCCGGAAGCAGACAGGCTCCAAGATCCTGGTGCGGAACATCCCCTTCCAGGCCGACCGGCGGGAGATCCGCGAGCTGTTCAGGTGGGCCACGCGGGCCGCGGGTGTGTGTGCTTGTGTCTGCGCACATGTGTCTGCATGTGTGTGTGCATGTGTGTATGTGTGCTTTGTGTGTGCGCATGCATGCGCCTGTGTGTGCATGTGTGTCTGTGTGAGTGGGTCTATGTGCGTGTGTGTGTGTGTGCAACAGACGGGAGAGCCATACACTGTTTAGGTCCCGGCCGCTTAGAGCACGCGTGTGCAGGGGTGCAGGGAAGCGGCCGCGGGGGCGTGACAGTCCCACAGGGGCCAGACTGGGCCCTCCCCAGGGCCTTGGGCTGCTGCCCGCTTCGCTCCCGCGTGTGGAGAGAAGCCCCTGCCGCCATCCTGTCCGAGGGCTGCGGGAACAGGCCCACAGGCGCTGTGCTGGCCCCTCGGGCTGGGACCACCCGCCCCCTGCCCTGGGGTTCTCTCGTTCTCACTGCTGCCGGCGGGGCCGGAACAGAGGGTGGGGGTCCTGCTCAGCGCATGGGGGCCCCTCCGTGAGCCTCAGGTCAGGCCCCAGCTACCACCCAGGCCCCGCACGCTCGGGTCAGGGAGCAGGCTGGGGGCTGGAGACCGGGAGGAGCCGCAGTCAAGTCTCGGGGAGGCCGGGATGATCTCTATGGGGCTAGGGCACTGGCCCGAAGGGCTCCGCTCATGCTTGGCCTGCGGGAGACCTGGGTTCAGTCCCCAGCACTGAGCACTGTGCCAGGCATAGCCCCGAGCACTGGGCCTGGAGCAACCCCGAGCCCTGGGTCAGGAATAGCCGCGTCCTTTGCTGCCCCTGCTGATGCCCTCGGAGAATCTGAGTCCCTGGGCAGCCTCGTCGCAGGGAGAGGGGCAGGGGCTGGGGCCTGGGGGAGGGCGCGTGCCCCCACCCCTAGGGAGACGCACCTCAACCCGGCAGCCCAGTGTGGGCTCGTTGGCATGTGCTGACGAGTCACAGAAATACAACCAAGAGCAGCCATGTCAGGAGGGGCTTGTGCCAAGCAGCATGTGCAGAGGGGACAGTGCCGGAGGCTGGAGGAGGAGGGGTGTCAGTGTCCGTGTCCTGGGCAACAGGAGGGAGCGCCCGCCCCCGCGTCCACTGAGAGCTTCCCCTGGTCTTTCCTCACCCGCCGTTGTCCCCACATGTTCTCATCTGCCCTGGAAACGGGGTTGGGGTTGGAGGGAGCAGGGCGGGGCCTCTTGGAGGCGCCCCCTCACCGCACTAGGCGGTGGTGGGTTTGTGGGGGGGGGAACACTGTGGGGCCTTCCCCATGGAGGACAGCAGGGGGCGCTGCAGGCCTTCTTGCGAGCCGACTCTGGGCCGGGAGGAAATCCAGTTTCAGACAAAGCCAGTGGCTGCAGAGGTCAGTCAGGGCCCTGGCCAGCATCACTGCGCGGGGTGGGGGGCACCTGTGGGCTTGTCCCTGGAGGGGAAACCGCAGCTCCCGGGAGCTGGACTGGGCCCCCGCTACCCCTCGCCCCACACTGCCTCTCCTGCAGGAGACTGGGCTGCCGGGCCAGGAGGGGCCCCGGGCGTCTGCAGGGGGGGGCTCCCTCCCCTGCGACCTCCTGGGTCCCCCCCCATCCCCGTGTGTCCAGCGCAGCCTGTCCCCCTGCACGTGTCTGGACCCCACACTTCCAGGCTCCTGGCCATGTTTGTGTGGGGGTGGGGAGGGGGGTTCTGGCTCTTGGGGTTCGTGGAGGGGGCTGCGCCCACGTCTGGACAGTGTCCCCTCCCTGACCGCTCTCTTCTGGGGGTGCTTCTGGTGTGCAACCCTCTTCTTTTTTTCCTTTTTTGGGCCTTAGGCCGCAGCCGGTGGTGCTCAGGGATCACTCCTGGTAGGGCTTGGGGGACCCTCTGGGGTCCCGGGATGGAACCCTGGTCAGCTGTGTGCAGGCAAAAAAGCCCCTTGACCCGGGGCCAATACCCAGCCCATGGCAGAGGGTCTCTCAGACAGGACCAGGGCTGCATGTCCTGGGGACAGGCACTGGGTGCCCTGGCCACCCCCGGGCGGCTAGCTGGACCAGCAGGGGACCATGTGCCTCCGTCCCTCCCGCCCGAGTCCCTGCAACCTCTATCTCCACCCCCGTCCCCCACCCGGGCAGTCGGTCCCGACTCCGCTTCACAGCAGAAAAACCCCATGTGGGTTCCTCAGATATATGCTGATGGGCGGGAGATGCCGGGATGGGTTACAGAAATGGGTGACGGGGGCACGAGGGGGACCCACGGCCTCCTGAGTCCGTGAAAGGCCAGAGGTGGGTCCACTCCGGCACCCGCTCCCAGTCTGCACTCAGCCGCCCGCACCCCACCCCACCCCACCGAGGGATTGGACCTGGGTTCCCCGGGCAGAGCTGGGCCTTACCACAGTCTCCATCACCGGGAGAATCAGCCACGACGCTGGCCCCAGAGGCTTCTGGGCAGGAACAGCCCCAGCCCCCAGCTCAGGGGTTTCCTCCAGAGACGCCCTCCCCGCCCACTGTGGGGGCGCAAATTTCCTTCTTCACTTTGGGGGTTTGGCACCACCCCCAGCTGTGCCCAGACTTCCTCCTGGCTCTGTGCTCAGGGGTCACTGCTGGCTGTCGGGACCCCTTTGGGCCCCCCTCAGCCCTCTGCACCCCAACCCACCTGCCCTGGACAGGCTCCTACCGCTGTTCCACCTCCCCCTGGAGGGGCGCCGCTGCGGGGTGCCCCCCGCCGCCCCCCGGCTCTGTGCAGACAGACAGGCATGGTGAGGCGCGGGAGAAAGCGCGGGCCGGGCCCTGTGTCCCCACAGGCTGCTAGACAGCGACTGACCCCACCCAGCCGGGTTGCCACCCACGGGCTCCATCAGACCAGCCCCTGCGTCTCCGCACAGCGGCCCTCGGGGCTCAGATCTGTTCTGGGAGGGACACGGGGTGGGGCGGCAGTCTTCCATTTGGAGCTGGGATGCGGGCAGTGAGGCCCTGCTCCCTGGAGTGACCGGAGCTTCTCCCCAGCCCCCACAGGCCCCCGGGGAGCCGGGGCTGGGGGGCAGCAGCGGGCCCAGCTCACGACGACGAGTCACTCATTTGTGTCTCATTTTCAGTTATTATCGGGCCGCCGGGCGTGAGAGTATTTTGACAGCAGCTGTCAGCGAGGTGCAAGCGGCTGTCAGCACCTGCGATTGGCTGCAGGCGCTGGGGCTGCGCGAGGGCCGAGCCCACCCCCCCACCCCTGCCCCTCCCAGAACGCCGGACAGCCACCTGCCTGCACCCCGACCCGTAGCCCCCAGCCTGCACTGTCTGCCCCTGCCTGCCCCCTGCCTGCACTCTCTGACCCTCTGCCTGCACCCCTGCCTGCTCCCTGCCTGCCCGGCACAGCCCGCCCCCGCCTCACTAGCCTGTGAGCTGGAGCTTTCTACCTCAGCTGGCCCTCCACACCCTCCTGCTGGCCCTCCCGCTGCCCCATCCCCGCCCCCTGGGCACGCCTCCTCTTTCTGGCCACGCCCATCCCGCTGACCCCGCCCCTGCCGCTGGCCACGCCCCCTCCAAGGCCCCGCCAGCTGCAGGCCCTGGTCTATCCGGGACCTGGGGACCCGGTCCTCGCGCCTGTTCTCCCTCCTTCCCTTCACGGCGGGATTAGTCCGTGGGAGCCCGCCCAAAATTGCTGGCAGCTGGCCCTGGTTCCCTAACTTCCTGGGGGAAAGTCATGGGGGTGGTCGCCCACCCCCACCCCCTGTGCCTGTCTCCCTTCTCCACGGGCCCATTGGAGCCGCAGCCCAGCTGTGCCCAAGGGGGATAGGGGAGCACCGAGCCTGGACTGGAGGTAGTCCCACCCACAGCCCCGCGCTCAGGGGCACGGGCGAGGAAGTGAGGTTTGAGGGTCCTGGGCCGCGGGGGCGGGCAGAGGGCCCGTCCCCCCTCCTGTCCTGAGTGCCCCCTCCTTGGCGCTTGAGGGCACGGTGGGCTCCCGATGGAGTTGGGGGACCCTTGTCAAGATTGAGGTGCCATGCCCGGCAGAGCTGGCGTGCAGGTACGGAGTGGCCTGGCCACTCGGGGGTGATGACAAGGTTGAGGGGGTCCGGGAGGCTGAGCCCGAGGAGGCTGGGGCCGAGGGCTGCGCCCCGGCAGTTAACAGAGCCCCCGGGGGGTGGCAGGGGGAGGTTCTGGGTCGGTCACAGTGCCCACCAGAGCCCAGGCAGCAGGAGAGGGCCGTGGGGTCTGGTGGCAGAAAGGCAGGGCACCCTCTGGATTGGGACTGGGGCCTCTTTCTGGGGTTGCTGTTTGGTCTGTTCCCAGCGTGGGCCCCGGGGAGGGCTCCCATGGTGGGCAGCTGTCCCTGTTCACCAGGACAAGCACTGGGCATATCTGACCCCGTGCCAGGGTGCCCCATTGCGGGGCAGGCTGATGAGTTGGGGGGCAGGAGGGCTGGTCTGAGGGTGGCGGCAGACTCAGTAAGGGAAGCCCCGATCCCAGTGGGCACAGAGAAGGCGGCTTCCTGTTGATTTGGGGGCCTCGTGGTGGACCCTGAGGTGTTTCGGGGGGACTCCTGGCTCTGTGCTCAGGGGCGGGGCAGGGACTGACCCACCTTCCCATATCTCAGCCTCAGGAGGAGTTCCTTAGGAGGAAGAGGAAGGAATGAATAAGCAGTCTGGCCAGTTGTGGGGCCAGTACTTGAAGCGCCAGGGTGGGTGGCGGTCTTTTTTCTCTCTCCCAAAACACGAACGAGACTAATGTATAGCCACACACGTGTCCCTTCCATATGTGTGGTTGGGGGCGCCCTCTGGAGGCCCCAGCCATCTGGGTATGGTCAGCGTGCGGTGCCGGGAATCCCAGTGGTGTTCAGGGGTCTCTCTCCCCACCTGTTGATGCCCGTGGGCTGGACCCCACCAGCTGCCAGGGAGTGTCCGGGGCCTCCTTGTCGAGACCCTGAGCCCAGGCCTCGGGCTCTTGTTTCTGGCCGGTCTCCTTCCTCCCCTGTGGGTGCCGGGGTGCCCATCCCGGCCATTCGGCACCAGGCCTGGATGCAGTGACGCCCCCCACCCCAGCACCGAGTAACCCCTCAGAGTTACTGGCCCAGTCTGGGAGCTGGAGGTGAGCCCCCTCTTCTCGGAGGTAGCTGCAGGGCTGCCGTGATGCTTCCCTGCTTTCCCGGCCCTGGGTGGCGCCGGCTCCATGCCCTGCGTTTCCAGAGCCACGGGTGTGTGGACCACCGGCGGGCATGAGGCGGAGCAGGACGTGGGCGCGGGGACTGCCGGGCCGGCTCCGGCCAGCGCTCGAGGAGGAAGGCAGGTTTCTTCCTCCTTTTTCCCTTTTTCTCTCATTTCCTGCGCTGAGGGTCGGACACCAGAGGGTGTTAAATTGGATCTGAATGTCCACCTCTGGCTGACCACATTCTTGTAACGATTTCATTAGCCTGAATTATCCACTTTATTTTCTTGTAATGGGATTAGCTGTGCTCGAGGCGCCTGCAGGCCGGCGGGGCGGGCGTCTGTTGTGTCTCTCGTTACCCCGTCTGGGGCTAGAGGTGAGACACCCGCCCCCAGGGGAGAAGGCGCCCGGGGGTGTCCCAGGCGGCACCCAGGGCACCTCTCGCTCTGGGCCCCAGCACCACGCGGGCACAGGTGTTGGACACACCTAGCTCGTCGTGGGCTGGCTCCCGCCTGCACCCGTCAGCTAGCAGGGGCGGCCGAACCCGACAGGCACCCGAAGGTCTCTCAGGCCCAGGAGCCTTAGGAAAGGAATCTGTGACTGAGAAGGGTGCGTGCTGGTGATTCCCGCCAGTAGGCCCAGCCAGGGTGGCAAGCTCCCCAGCTCCTGGGCCTCGGTTTCCCCGCAGGTGGTGTGGTCACCCCAGGGACTGCTGTCAGCAGGGCCGTGAACACTTGACCCACCAAGCACATCCTTCCAAATCAGTTTCTTTTCTAAGGATTTCAGGGCATCCCTATCCAGGGGAGCTGCTGGTCCTTTATCAGCTAGGGGTGTGTGGGGGGGGGATTAGAATAACCTGCAGAGGCTTTGCGCCCCCCACCCTCACCTCTGACCCTCCCCAGCCTACAAAGCACCTGCTTATAATTAGCGGGAGGCCATGCCCCTTCCGGTCGGAGCTCAGTCTGCCCAGACCTGGTCCCTGGACTGCCTGGCACCCAGGCAGGGTTCGCGCAGTGCAACCGCCCCGTGAGATCGCAAACCATGTACGGGGGTCGGGAGTAGTGGGGGTCGTAAGCTGCCGGCTGGGTGGCGTCACCTATGTCTTCGGAACTTTGGGCCAGCAGGAGGCTATGTGTCCTCTCCCGGGGGCACGTGACGGAGATCGAGGTCCCCCGGGGGTGTAGAGACCGCTTTGCGGAATGGGTCCACCTGCGCCCAGCTCCCAGGGCCCCGCCCCGGCTCTGCGCCCCTAAGGGGCCTGGAGGGGGGGCACAGACCCCAGGAAAGGCTCCCAGGCGCAGCCACGCGGCTCTTGCGGCCCCCAGGGGCACAGTGCCAGGGGTGTCCGGGCTGTCCCGACAGAAGGGAGACCCTTATGCAGGATGCCTGGGGAAGCCTCTTGGGAGTGGGGTCCTACTCACGCCTCATCCGGCCGCTGTTCCCGCCCGGGCCCCCGGGTGCCCGCCGGCTGGCTGTACCCCAGCAGGGGACGTAGGTGGGGTCGCTGGCACCTCCAGATCCGCGGGGCCGGCAGCAGGCGGGTCTGGGCCGTGCCCACCCCCCAGCTGGGTGCCAGCGCTCGGAGGGCGGGGTGCCCGGCACACCCCCAGCAGGCGCACCCTTTTCCGGAAGCAGCGCGCACAGCCCCCACACGGGCCCTCGGGAAGCGGTGGACCTGGTCTGGGCGCGCGTTTGGGGGGGGGCGGCTGCATTTAGGGGAGATGCGCGCGCCCGTGCTCGCGCGTGCCTCTGCCCGAGCGCGCGCGTGCCGTGCGCCCCCACCCCGGGCCTGCGCACAGACGCGCTTTGCATGCGGGGGCTTGTTTATGAGGCCCGGGTGGTAATTGGCTTGCCTGGCGCTACACCTGGGTGCCCCCCACCCGGCCCCCCTCCCCCCCCCCGCCGCACCTCGCAAGAAATTAGAAACGTGACAACAAACTCTAGCCCCCCGTCCCCCGTGCGCCCCCCCACCCCAGTCCCGGGCTGGGGGTGGGCCGCGGCGGTGCGTGGGCGTGATTGGCGAACCCGGGGTGAATGAAATAATTGGAAAAGTGAGGTGTGAGTTGGTTACTGACAGGCGAGGGGGGTGGCTGCTTAAAAGCCGAGCGTGCCCTCCCTCTTCGCAGCTTCGGATACAGTAATTGCTATTTTGTGGTTCCTATTATCTGCACAGTGGGGGGTGGCCGCAGCGTCTTCCCCTGCGGGCCGCCCAGCCTGGGCCCGGCCAGTTCCTGGGTGCCGGGGACCCCCTTCCCCTCGGGCACCCCCCCCCAGGTGACCCTGCTCCAAACATCCGTCCCGGAGGCGCCCCTAGAAGCCCCGGCGCTTGGCAGTCAGATAAGAGCCTTAATAACGGCCGGTGTTTATACGGCGCTTATCTCCAAGGAGCTAAAGGTACTTCATCGATTTTCCTGCATCCCCAGCCTATTTTTCTCCCCTCCGTTTTAATTTTGCAATATCTCCCCGAGATCATTAGGCTCGGCCTCCCGGTGCCCACCAGGCCCACGGCACCACCTCCGCCAGGGTGGACGTCGAGCTGGCCGGGCTTTGGGGTCCAGGGCCATGGGAGGGACGGTGTGACCAGCGGCGTCCTGTCTGGCCCTCGGCTGCCGTTGAGCTGTTGACCCTGTGAGGTCCAGGACACCCCTGACCCCCGCAAGTCCTCCGCAGTGGCCTGTCCTTCCCTGGGCCGACAGGGAGCGGGGTACTCACTACTCCCTCGGCTGGCTGCACCCCTGCAAGCTGATCAGGGTTAGAAGCAGCTTCTCATCTCCCCGTGGTCCAATGGGGGTGTTTGTCCGGAGCCCCCACTGGTCCCCCAGCTGCCTGGATGGGGTCCCCAGACCCCCCTGCCGAGCTCCCCACCCAGCGCAGACCCTCCCCCGCCCCTCGGGATGGACACCCTCTGCTCCCAGAGAGGGAGGGCCTAGGCAGCTCCTCCCGGAACTTAGGGGCCATGGAGGGTCGGGGGGCAGACCCGGAACCTGCTGCCCAGGCCTCCTTTGCTGCCCTCCACAACCTGTCAGGGGCCGTGGGTGAATCGCGACCCCGCTCAGCCCTTGTGGCTGTCCCCTGTCACCCGCCCCCAGCCTCCCCCTTCACGCCTGCAGGGGCCGTTGAAGCCTTGGCAGGGGCAAGTGTCCTGCGGCCACTGGGCTCCCAGGATTTGCCTTCTAGCCCTGCCCTGTAGGAGCAAGAAGCACCACCTGCCTGGCCTCGGTTTCCCCCGTGTCAGAGGGGCATGGGCTGGTGTGGGCAGCTGTCTGTCTGTCTGTCTGCTTTCCCGGCTGAGGCCCCGACAGTACCAGGTGGTCGACCCCATGGGGGTAGCGTGGGCTGCTTGCTGCATCCTGAATGTAGGCGGCGGGGGGGGGGGGGGGGGCGTGAGCAGCCCACCCCCCGTGCTCAGACCTCAGAGCCCGGTCAGCCCCTCAACCCCATTTGCGTGCCCTGCTGGCCGGCCCAGGCCTGTGACCCTGGGGGTCTCCCAACCCAGTCTCGGCTGCTGTGGGGCGGCTCCGCCTTTAGGTGGCAGGAGAAGGCCAGGCTGGCAGCCTCTGCTCCTCCCACCGGCCCTCACCTTCCCGCGTGCCAGGCCGCGGGGTCCCGGCACCAGCCTGGCCAGCCGGGAGAGACCAGTGGGGCTCCACCCCCATCCTGCCCGGCCCGAGAGCGCGGGGCTGCGGAGGCGTGCCCGTCCATCCCGAGGCCTCATCACGCGGCCTCCGGGCGCCGTCCTGCCGGCAGAAATTGGGCCGGCCAATGCCTGGTCATGCGGCCAAGCTGCGGGTTCACGCCTCGGCGCCGGCTGCTCTCATTTCATGAGCCCGCGTGGGGGGGAGGGGGCGGGGGGCAACCCCCCCTCCCGCAGCCCCCCAGACGGCGCGCGCGTGAGTGGGCGCCCGGCGGTGTGCCGATTTTCAAATCAAACCATCCCTCTCTCCAGATGCCGCGCACATTAAATATTTATCGGCCGCGATTCGTGCGTATGTATTTGATAAATGGGCGTCAGGACACGGACGGGGCCGGGCGGGGGAGCGAGGAGAGCCAGGCGGGCTTTTGTCCAGGAATTTCTCAGGTGTGTCTGCGGGGAGAGCTGGAGAAGGGGGCTCCCGGGGACACGGGGAGCCTTGGCCTCCAGCGCTTTGGTGCTTCACAGTGTCCAGCCGCTGTCCCGAGGGGGAGGAGGGGGTTTGGCGGGGAGGGGGCCTTCCGTCCTGGGGAAAGGGGCTCCTGCTGGCTCGTCCAGCCCAGGAGGCCGCCTGGCGAGGCAGGAGACCCCGGGACCCTCCGAGCCGAGCCTGCCAGCCCTGCGTTCAGGGCTGCCCCCGCTGCGGCCCCCCGCGCCCACCCTTGCGATCTTCCCCCCGCGAGCACCGAGGCCTGCCAGGAACCGCGGCGAATCTCCCCAACCTGGTCCCCTGCCTGGGCACCCCCCACCCCAAGTCACCGGGGGAGTGGCCGGGGGCGTGGGGGTTCCAGGGAGACACGCGTGGGAGGGCCTCCCGCCACCTCAGTTCTCAGGCCTCTGTTTGCTTTTCTTTCTAGCACCTTCGGAGAGCTGAAAACCGTCCGTTTGCCCAAGAAGCTGGCGGGGACGGGCGCCCACCGGGGCTTCGGCTTCGTGGATTTCCTCACTAAACAGGATGCTAAGGTGAGCCGGCGAGGAGCAGCTCTGTCTGTGTGTGCGTCTGTCTGTCCGTCCCGCAGAGCCGGGGTGGGGGGCGTCGCTCACCCCATCTTCCCCCTGCCTGGGAAACTTCAGAGCGGTTTGGGGCTGGGACAGGGCCACAGCCCTCGGCCTTGAGCACACCGGGCGCGTGGACGACGCCCTAGGGGACAGCCCGGGACGCAGCTGTGGCCTTTGTGGGCCCTGGGAACGGCCGGGCTGGAGCGCCAGCGCCGCATCGACACCTTTGTCTTGGCGTCTCGCACTCAAGTGCCCGTTGTGTTGACGCGTGGCCGCCTCCGCCCACACAGCTGCCCCCGCCGCCCCCCTGGCAGGGAGTCCCTGCGGCTTCCGCTGGGGTGCACAGAGGGGCTGTCCCTCGGAGCAGGCAGGAGGGACCCCGGTGCCGCCTCCCCGGCCCCCAGCCTCTCCTGGCCCGGGCAGCGCCCTCTGCTGTCCTCCCGGCGAAGGGGGCCAGGCCACCACTGCCCAGCCCAGGGCCACGCCTTGTTGGAGTCGCTGGAAGCGGGTTTTCAAAGCTTCGGGCCCAGCTGGACCCAGCTGGTGACTGACTGCCTGTGTGCCTCAGTTTCCCACCATAGCAGGGGGACGCTGTCTGTCACCAAGCTGCAGGCGGGTTCTCAGACCCGGGGAGAGAGGGCAGATGGCCCGCCTGGCCGCCTCTCCCCGCTCCTCCCACTGCCCAGTCCCTGGTGGACGCCCTCGGCAGGACAGGGCCCAGTGACACCCCTGGCGCCACGGGCCAGCCCGGCTACTGCCGGACGTGATCCGTGTACGTACACACACACACACACACACGTACACCCGTCTTGCTTTCTGGCCTCCAGAGATGCCAGTCCCCGCCCCTCCCCCCCCCCCACCGGCCCTCAGAGTCTTGGCAGATTCTCCATATTGGGTGTTTTTTGTTTGTCTGGTTTGGAGGTTTTGGGTCGTTGTTTTTGGGCCACACCCAGCTGTGCTCAGGGCTGACCTCAGCTCTGCACTCAGGAATGACTCCTGGTGGTGCTCAGGGGACCCTATGGGATGCCGGGGATCGATCCCGGGGCGGTCACCAGCACGGCAGACGCCCTCCCCACTGTGCTGCGACTCCAGCCCGAGATTCTCCACGTTGTGTTTCTCATCCTTCGGGCGGGCGTGCGTGGGGGGGCGAGCGCCCCGCAGGGACCCGAGATCCGCAGTCTTGGGGCGGAACTGCCCCGGCTAGGCTGAGCGCCCCTCTGCCCTCCGCACCCGCTGGCCCTCCCGGAGGCCACCCCACTCTCCAGCCCTGGTGGTGAAGCCACCCGCGGGCAGGGCAGGGTGGGGCGGGAGAGGGAGTGAACGGGGACCAAAGCCACCTGTACACGGGAAAGTCGTGCCGGACTGAAGCAGGCTGGACTCCCAGCACAGTGCTCCTCCCCAGCGTCACCCGAGACCCCAGCCAGCCCCCGTGTAGGGCCAGGAGGGAGCGTGTGCCCTGCGGCTGGGGAGCCCCCGTGCCGCCACCCACCCCCCAGAGCCCCTTTCTCCATGACCCACCCGGGGTCGGCACAGACCCCACCGGAATGAGAATCCCGGGGTGGCCGGAGCACGTGGACACACGCAACACGTCACACATGTCTCGCTCACGCACCACACATGCGTACATCGCACAGACACGCCACTCCCATGTCACGTAGTCAGACACATCACAAGTATGCACCGAAACACACACCCCACACATATCCTTCGCCACATATGCACCTTCGCACCCACCCGTCTGTCTGTCTCCCCCCCCCCCCCCCCCCCGTCCTCCACTGGGCCCGTGGGTGCACCCCGCCTGTCCCTGTCTCCACAGGCTCTTCCCAGGCTGTGTCGGGGCCGGCACCGGCCACCCGCCCTCGGCTGGCCTTGGTGTGTCGCCCCCCACCCCCCACAGTGAGGAGCCCCAGATGGCCACCGCCCGAGTTCAGGGTCTTCCTGGGCTGCTTCTGTGCTCACAAAGGCCTCAGTGGCCGCTTCTGTCGGCTCACGGTCATGCCCGACTCCGGGGGCACAGCCCTGGGCACCCGCAGACACGTTCTCGGTGCTCAGTGCTTAGTGCTGGGGTGCTGGGCCGTGGATGCGAGGGGGAACTTAACGCTGCCCCTCGGCTCTGGGAGACCCAGGGCAGGAGCCCTTGGCGGACAGAGAAACGGAGGCTCCGAGGACAGAAGCCACTGCCCGGCCTGTCCAGCAGAACGGGGACCCCCCACACACACGCATGCGCGCGTGCGCGCACACACACACACACACACACACACGCTCATGGATCTCACCGGCAAGCCCTGTACTCAGGCCAGGCCACAGGCCAGGCCACACCCACCCTGCGGTGCCCCCTTCAGTGGAGTCCTCTGCCCCCCCCCATGTGCCACCTTTGACCCATCAGAGGGACCGTGCTCAGGACACAGGCTTGGGGGCCAGCTGCCCCTCAGAACGGGTGCTGGGGACAAAGGCACGGAGGGAGGCGGGGGCGTCTCCGCCCTCGGCCTTGGAGGGCCCTGGAGAGGGGCCCTTGGTGCCTGGGTCAGGCCCCCAGCAGGGTGGCCCAGGAGGCCAACTCAGCTCCTGCCCGCATGGGGCAGCTGGTCGGGGCCAGAAGGGGACGCATGCAGCCCCCAGGGGGCCCCCACCTCGGAGGCGCGCGCCTGCCCCTTTAATTCCCCCCCAGCACCCCCCCCCCCCCCCCCGCCTCTTTGTACTTGGCAGTTGCAGCTGGTTTTATTTGCCGCCACGGCTGTTGTTTTAAAAGGTCTATTTTCACATGGAATGTTATCCAATTAGCAGAGCGATGTGTCGGCTTAAATAAACACTTGCGGGGAGCAGCAGTGGGGGACAGGATGGCGGCGGGCAGGCAGGCGGAGCCCCGCGCCCTGCGGCAAAGCGCCAGGCTCCCTGGCGGGCCCCACCCCGAGCCCAGCGTCCCCGGCTCAGCCCCATGGCGCACGCGGCCAGGCGCGGCCTCGGTGCCGGGGCGGGGGGGGGGGGGGGTGCGGTGGGCATCAGTCTCTGTGCCCAGGGTCTCAGCCTGGCCGGGCCCCTGAGCGAGATCCTAGTGGCCAGAGCAAAGCACGAGGGACCGAGCCTGCGGGCCGGGCTGGGCTGTGCCTCCTCGGGGACACTGAGTCGGCCAGCCTGTGGGCACCCAGCCCGGCACGTGGTAAGGAGGACGGGTTTCCTGGGTGTGTGTTCACCCCCTGGTGCCCAAGGCACGGCCATCCTGGGCAGGGCACAGCATTGGGGCTGCCCAGAGCCCGGGGGCTGTCACCCATACAGCTTTGTTCCCCAGGCATTGCCTGACCGACTGCAGACACAAGGACGGGAGGTCTGGTCCCCACCCCTGGGTCTCAGGGACGAGGATCTGGGCCCACTCCCGGGTCTCAGGGACAGGGTCTGGGGCCCACTCTCGGGTCTCGGGGTTGGGCCATCTGGGGTCCCCACTGGGGTTGTGCGGTGGGTGTGGGCCTCTGGACTTGTCCAGGGTCAAAGAGGTGCTTGCCCTGCCCTCTGGGTGCAGATGCAGCCCTCCCTGAGGTGGGTGGGAGACTCTGGCCTCTCAGAACCTGAGGCGTCGGGGCCCATCACCTGCTGAGCTGAGTGGGGCCTCGTGCCGGTCCTGCCTCCCCCCCACCACCCACACCAGGTTTGATCTGCCTCATTTCCTTGGCATGGTGCCCCCACCCCCGCCCTCCTCCGGGCAGGGCCCAGCCCCCGGCCAGCACGTCCTTGCCTGGCGTGTCCCTCGCGAGCCTGCTTGGGCGGCCTCTGAGAAGCGGCTTCTTCCCCTTCCCGAGGCCAGACATGATCTATCACCGCCGCCTGCCGTCGTTCTGGGTCCCAGACGTGGGGCCTGGGAGTTGGTTGAAGTCTGACGGAGCTGGGTGGGGCTGACCGGATGAATGAGTGCGTGGGCTTGGCGGGACTGAGTGAATGAATGAGCGGGCACAGATCAGGGCCTGAGTGAGTAGATGGGGGGTGGAAGGGATTTAGTGGAGGGGGTGGGGAAGTGAAGGGGTCGGGGGCTCAGTTTGGCTGGGCTGAGCGGCTGGGGAAGGCGAGAGATACTGTGCTGGTCTGGGAAGGGGCCGGGTTCGTCTCCGGGGGTCACCCACCCCCAGTGCTATGACTGGAATGGCCTGAGACTGGCCGCGGCCATGGGTTCAAGTCGCTGCTCTGGGCAGAGCCCCCCCCCCCCTTTATTCCAGGGCATGGGGCGTCCCCCAGACAGCGGCTTGCAGGTGGCCAGGGCGGGCAGGGGTGGGGGCGGCCGCCCTCTGCCGGCTGCCGTGCTCCTGACCCTTCTCGCCGGCGCGGGTCAGGGGCACCGCGAGCCCCGCACAGATGGCCGGGACAGGCTGGCTTCTCGCGATCAGGTGGCCTGGGCGTCCGCAGAGACGCAGCCCTGCGCGGGGGCGCAAGCGAGCAGACGGCCGGCCCCAGGCCTCCGCCAGCAGACGCCGAGCTCGCCTCAGGGCCGCAGGGCTGCCAAGGGCATGGCGGGGGCACTGCTCCGGGAGGGGGGCCTCGCCCGTGGGGAGAGTGGGCAAGGTCAGGGCCAGCGCCGTGCTGGCCACCTTCCATCTCCTCCCGGTTCTGGAAAGATCCAGGTGACCAGGTCCCTGTGCCTGCGAATCTGCTTCCCAGAGAGCCCAGGCGGCCGCCGGAGCCCCGGGACCTGCTCAGAGCTCCGAGGGACCCCCCAGCTCTGACCCTCTGTGTCCACATGGTTTTGGTCACCCCCGGGGTGCAGGGGAGGAGCTGGGTGGGGTGAGGGAGGGGCCGGGCTTCAGGGAGACTCGGGGATCCCAGCCTGGTGCGCGAGGGACGTGAAGGGTGCGAGGCCTGGGGTGGGGGACCCCGACCTCTCCACTGGCGCCTCCCGTTTGTGAACAGAGAGCAGGAACCTCTAAGCGGCCCTTGGGGGCTCCCTCCTGCCTCCAGCGTGAGACCCTGAGCCCCGGTGCCCCCTGGGTCCTGGTGACCAAAATCCAGATTTGGAGGTGCCCGGGACACGGAGTCTCCAGTGGGCCGAGAGGGAGCGAGGGACCCGGGTTGTTCTGCTCCAGTGCTGATGGGTCCGTTCTGGGGTCGGGCTGGGTTGTGGGTTGGACAGTCTGCAGGGTCTGCCCCGAGCCCCCAGCAAGTGCCACGGGGTGGGGGGGGGCATCCAGACGAGGTGCCAGGAAGTCCTGAGTGGTGTCCTATAGAGGCAAGAAGGGGGGTAAGGTATACATGTGCGCGCGCACACACACAAATACACACACACACATACGGACGCACATGCATGCACAACATGTGTGCATATGTGCACAGGCACATACATGCACACACATACACAGGTACACACAAGCACAGGTACACACAAATGCACACATCTATCACACAAGCACGCACACGTGTGCAACGCACATGCATACATGCACACACGTGCACACACATGCACGCACACCCCACCCCACCGCCCTGCCTCGGCTTCCCCATGAGCGACTCGGGAGAGTCGGGTGTGTGCCGGGCTGTTGGGGCTGAGGCAGCACAGGCCACAGGGCACAGGCGAGAGACCCGAGGCCCCAGACGCCAAGTGGCCCCGGCCCCTCTGTCCCGGCCCAGTGTGGGTGGCGGGTTCGAGCCTGAGCTCTGGGGAGGGTCAGAGCCACGGGTCGGGTCCAGCAGGGTCCAGGAGCTGCTGTGGCCACGCAGCCCTCAGTGCCCCCCAGACCCCCGCCACGGGGTCCCTGGAGCCCCCGAGGCCGTCACCTCCCCCTGCCGGCCGCCTCCCTGGACTCGGCCTCTCACTGCACTCATTAGGCGCTGTAATGAGACAATTACTCTGGATCACCCTGGTTCAAGTTCAGCCCAATCAGTGCCCTCACGGCTGCCGCGACAGTGTGAGGCCTTGGCCCGCTCTGGGCCCCGGCACGGCCTGGTAGCCTGGGGGTGAGGGAGGCACATCGCCCCCGTTTTTAGCGAAGCACAAATCGGGCCTGAGAGCCAGCATAGGCCCTGCCCAGCTGCTGCCCCTGCTCCGCCCTCGGGGACACGCCAGCACAGAGAGGGCCAGCCGCCTGCCGGGGCCACACAGCAGTTGGGGCGGCCAGGAGCAGGGTCAGCTCGGCCCTATCCGCCCCCGCGGCCTCGGGTCCCAGTGGCGCTGCCGGGTGGGGGGCTGACTCCCTTCGCCGTCTCCCCCCACCCCTCCCACGCCGCCGCCGGCCGTGTCCCTGGGATCCCGGCTCCAGGATGGCACCGCCGCCCCCCAGCCCGGCCGTTCCGCGCCTCGCCAGCTGAGCACGCGCGGTTTGAAAGCTCCGAATGGGCCATTTCGGCTCGGAGTCCAGATGCACTTTTATATGCACACGGAGAAACTGCCTCGGCTCGGCTGGCGCTCGGGAAGTTTTTTAAATTAAAGGGGGGGCGGGCGGAGGGGGGACAAGTTTCCTGCACCTGGCCCTGCTCGGGGACGCGGCGAACAAAGCCCTCGGCCCGGGCTTGGGGACGCTGTGTCCCCCTTACCACCACCGAGGGCCTCAGACTCAGTCACCTCGGGGCCACAGCCCCACCTCCTCCCCGTTTCACAGGGGCGGAAACTGTGGCTTCGGGGGTCGATGCAGACCCCCGAGAGGCGGCTCCCGCTGGTTGGCCCCGTCCTGGGAAACGCCCCTGCCCACTGCTGCCTCCTGGGCGCTCGGTCACCCGCAGGGACCGTCTCCCAGCAAGGGGACGAAGGACCAGCAGGACTTGGGCCCTCCCCAACCCCCGTGACGGTCACCCCGCATGCAGGCCAGAGCTGTGGGTGGGCAGCGTCGAAGCCCCCCCGCCTGCCCAGGGGGCGCTAGACTTCCAGGGCCTCCAGACGGCCCTGCCCAGATTGGCCATTTGCGTCCGTCGTTCCTAGCACTGGGCAAAGTCCCGTCCCGCGGACACGGGCTCGGGGTTCGGGCAGGCCGATCTCCCTTGTGGGGGTATGCGGCCCCCACCCCCACCCTGCGCATCTGTGGGGTCAGGCCCCAGCCGAGGCTGGCAAGGGGGCAGCAGTAGCGTCTCCCCGAGTCGCCTGGTGACTCCTACAGGGGGCGGGGGGTGGGCCCGGCAAGAGCCGGAGGGGCCCAGGGCCACCCACCGGGCGGCAGTTCGGGAGCCGCTGGCGGTCACTGCGTGTCCACACCGTGCCACGGGCCGGCCACCCACCCACACACGCGCGCCACGTTCCCAGCGGGACGCAGCCAGCCCTCCCCGAGTCGCCCGGCCACCTGAGGGCCACCACTCACTCTGTCCCTGCCTGCCCCCTGCCCAGCGGGCCTTCAGCGCCCTGTGCCACAGCACCCACCTCTACGGCCGGAGGCTGGTGCTCGAGTGGGCCGACGCCGACGAGAGCCTGCAGGCGCTGCGGAGGAAGACGGCCGAGCACTTCCATGGTAAGAGCCCGCGGCCGGGACCCCCCCTCCCCCCTTCCGCCCCTCCCCTGCTCCCCAAGGCTCCCGGCCCTCTGTGCCTCCCGTTTCCGCCAAGAAACCCCATGGGCTCCCTGCCATGCCCCCCTTGTCCCCCCACTTCTTGTGTCCTGTTCCTCGTCTCTGCTCCCCAGGGCGCCCCTAGGTCTCGGGCCACTCAGCGTGGGCGGGTTCTGCGGGCAGACGGACGGGCTACTGGCACGCTGCCCTCCGGCCAGCCCTTCCCTGCCGCGATAAAGACCTGGCACGTTAGTGTGTAAAGGGCAGCGCTGGGCACTGCCGGCCCCTGGCAGACTGGCGGCCAGTGGCTCGGTGCCCGGGCCCCTCCCCGGCCTCACCTCTGCCAGGAAGGTACTCAGGGCTCGGGCCCCACGGCCTCAACAAAGGGCTCCCGCGGCCAGTGGGTCCCCGGTGAGAGATGGACGTTGTGGCCAGCGGTTGCGGCCAGCCTGCAGGCGCCTGTGTGCTCCGGGTACCAACCGTGGGGCAGCGGCTTCATGCCATGCAGGCAGGTGGGCACTCACCTCCCCGCCCCCACCCGTCTGCTCCCAGTCTTGGTCACAGGCACCAGGTGACTGTCCTCTGCCCAGCTTGACCCTTCGTGCCAGGGGCCATGTGCAGGCGGCCTCCGATGAGGAAACTGAGGCACGGGGGGGGGGGGGAGGGGGCGGTTGATGCAGGAGCCTCCGGCTGTCTGAGGGTGGAGGTGGGCTGGGGCACCTCCCTCCCCCTTCCTGAGTGTCCCGCCCTCCCTGCGCCCCTGGGCAGACTCCGGGCCACTTGCTGGGCTGTGCGGGCTGGACGGAGAGGCTCTCAGGGGGGACCCTCCCGCCTCCCCTGGGCTCCGGGGTGGGCGTCTGTGTGCGTCCTGGGTGCTGGGCTGCGGGCGGGTACTGTCAGGCCTGCGTGGGTGTCAGCAGCGGCTCAATGACTCCAGCCGCGGGATGTCCCTGGACGGTACAGCCCACACCCCCCTGCCCTGGGCACTGCCCTCCCACAGCGGCCCCCGGCCACCGCAGAGTCTCACAGCCCAGCCCCAGGCGCGCTGGGAAGGGGACCGCAGGGCCCAGCTGCCTCTGCCCTTCCTGCCTCCTCTCCCCTCCTCCCTGCCTTTTCTCTTTCCTCCTCCCTACAACCCCCCTTCCTTCCTCCCCTCTCGTCTCCCCTTCAGCCCCCCTCCCTTCCCCTCCCTCCCCTACCCCCCTCCCTCCCCTCCCCTGCCCAGCGGCCTTCTCATCTCAGCCCGGGCCCCAGGTGAAGTGCTCTATTCTTCCCCGAGCACCAGGAGGGAAGAAAGGAAAGCCCGGCCGGCTGCGTCCTTTTCTTCTAGAGCGTGTTACGAAGCAGCGGGGTCGCGCGGGAAGCTTTCAGGGCCTGGCAGGCGTGGCCAGCAGGCGGGCTGGAGAGGAGGCTGTTGCCGCCCGGGCCTCCGCGAGGCCGGGCACAGGGCTTTGACTTGGCCGGGAGCGCGGCCGTGCGTCGTGTCACTCCTGCTGCGGGGCTGATGGGCTGCGGCTCGCGGCACCTCTCCCCTCCGCGGGCGGGAACATGACCACAGACGCAAGCGGCATGGCCACTGGCGGGCAGGGCGGCCCCCGCCTGACCCCCTGCCGGCTCCCCTCTGCAGAGGCCCCGGGGCCCCACAGAACCACGCGTGGGGGAGAAAGGGGCCTGTGGGCATGTCCCTGGGCCTGGGTGGTTTCGTTTGTGTCTGTGGTTTTTGCTTTTGGGCCGCATCCAGTGATGCTCAGGACTTAACTCCTGGCCCTGCACTCAGGAATCACTCCTGGCGGTGCTCGGGGACCCTGTGGATGGCCGGGAATCGAACCCGGGTCAGCCGTGTGCCAAGCAAACACCCTTCTTGTTAGACTACTGCTCCAGCCCGCCAGCCGCTCTTTGTTCCGGATCCTGTGTGGCCGGGTGATGCTGAGGGGACGGAGGGTGTGTGGCCCGTGCGTCCTCGGGCCTTGGCGCATCCCCCGGCCCCCAGCATTGGTGGCCACCCCCCCCCCCATGCCCCTGTTTCTCAGTGCAGCCCCAGAGGCATCCCCGAACCAGAGCCTGCCAGAACCCCAGCCTTCCTGGGGACAGGCGGTGTCGCCTGCCTCTGGCCAGGCCTGAGCCTGATGGGGGGGAGGGTCCGAGGGTCTCGCACCTGCCCCACCCCCCAGAGGGGCCCCGAGGCCTGATCCCAGCGGGTCTTAGGGACTGTGGGAGTGGGGGGAGTGGGAGGCCAAGCCGGGGTGCTGGGGGTCCCTGACTCCCCCCGGAGGCCCAGTGAGGAGGTGAGATGCACGGGGGACCTTGCATGCAGCCCACGCGGGTTTGGTCGCCCCCCCCCCCCCGCACCCCTTCTAGTCCCCCGGGCCCCACCAGAAGTGACCCCTGAGCCACCCCCAGGTGTGGCCCCCAAACCAAACCCAGAACCCTTGCCCCCACACACACAAGCCACAGAGCCGGGGGAGGCCGTGGGCGTGTCTGCTGGGGGGGCGGTCGTCAGCAGTCCCCTGGGCGGGAAGCAGATGGCGCATGGTGTGTGCAGGCCGCACGTGAGGGGCCCCGGCAGAGAGAGACACCCAGCCTGCCCCTCCGTCCCCCACACGCCAGCCCCGGCAGGTAGGCCGCCTGCTCGGTGGAGGAAGCGTCACCACCCGGCTTCCAGAACTGGGGTCTGGGAGGCGCGGGAGCACGCGAGGGCCCAGAATTTACCATTCAGAAGAGCCCTCGGCCACGGAGCTCGAGGGCCCCACTTTGATCCCCGTTTGGGGGCCGCCTCGTCCCGCAGGAGGGCTGGGCGGGTGGCTCTCCCCAGCGGGCAGAGGGCAGCCCCCACGCTGAGCCGTGTGCCCTCTGGGGTGATGGAGTGAGCCCCCCAGGCCCCCGCGGCCCGAACCCCTGGGCGCGGCGGTGTGGAAACATTTCCTTGCGCCGGGCCGGTGCCCGGCGGCTCTCGGCGCGGTGCCCCCGGGGAGCGGCTCTCCGTGCGGGCGAGGTGTTGGCTCCCAATCCAGCTAAATCGTTATTGACTTGTGTTCTCTGCGTTCCGCAAACATTTCACTCAGCCCTCGCCGGCGAGGCCAGGGATCCCCGCTAGGGCTAACGGGGAAGCCAGCTGTGCCCGGCCGCCTCTCCGGCTCTTCCTCATCGATCACAGAATTAAGCTGACAGAAGGAGCCGCGGCCGCGCACGGGAGGGGCAGGGCCCGGGGGCCCCCGGGGCCGGGGATCGGGGCTGCCTGGAGGGTGGCCCTCCTCCGGGGTTGTGGCCGGCGGCGGGGGGCGGCCCGCGGGCAGGAGGAGCCCCGGCTGCTGGCGGAGGAGCAGCCGCGGCGGAGATGATGAATCTGCCGTGGGCGGGTGGGCCGGGAGACTCCGAGTCTCGCACCCCCTGGCCCCGTGGGGCGCTGAGGGGGCGCATGGGGCAGGGGAAGGGGCTTCACAGACAGGCGCGGCCCCCTGTGGTCACCCACCCCAGCGGCAGCTGTGTCCCCAGACGCGCTCCGAGGCCGAGCAGGCGTGTGGGAGCCCCGGCCCCCGCAGGTGCAGGGAGGAAGGAAGGGCCCGGGAGGAGGGTCCCCCTCGCCCGCCCTCCCGCCTCCCCTCCCAGGGCTAGAGCAAACAGGGAGCCCGAGCCCCAAAGCCCCGGGCTTACTAAGCCCACCGCCGCCAAATCCCCGTAATCCGCGAGCGTGTCCGCGCCCGCCGCCACCACACGCCCAGGACAGACGGGCCCAGAGCCGGCCCCCGGTGTCATCCCCCCCCCCACCTCTGTACACACTGTCCTGCTGTGCCCCCACCCGCAGGGATCCCCTCCCCTCCCCCCCGCATCCAGCCGGCCGCCACGGCTCTCTCACTCCCGGGTTTCTAGATGGTTCTGTGGGCTGAGGAAGTGACAGGTGCGGGCAGCTGGGCCGTGCCTGGTGGTGGGCACGGAGCTTGTGTCCCCCCTGAAGGATCAGCTGTGACCTGTCACGGGGTCGGCCACACCCCCACGACTTCCCCTCTGTCCCAAAACTGTTCCTGCCCCAGGAAGTGGGGGCGTGGTATCAGGCCCACGGCTGTGTGGGTTCAGGGGGGCTCGGCCACTCCCCTGGCAGCAGAGGGTCCTTCCCCAGAGCTGCAGGCCTGGGCTGGGGCACCCCCTCCCACTCCCCTTGGGCCACTGCTGCTGGGCCCGTTCGTTTGGGTTTTGGGGTCACCGGGCGGCGCTGCCAGCTGCTGCTCGTTGCTTGGGGCTCAAACCAGGTGGTGCCTGGGGGACCATGGGGGGGGGCAGGGAGTGAAGCCGGGACCCCCACCGGCAGACCCCCGGGCTCAGCCCCACCCTGCCAGCCCTTTCCAGAATGTGACTGGAGACTCGGAGGAGCCGGGCACTCCCTCTGCGTGTCCTTCCGTGTCCTTCCCCGAGGGCACCTGCCTGGTCCCCTGGGAACACGGGAGCCGCATGTCCCCTGCGTGTGGGCGGGGCTGTCCCGACCAGCCCCGGGGAGCAGGCTGCGTTGTCCTGCTTGGGTCCCAGGAGCTCCGGGTGTGTTTTCAGGTTCTGAGAGCGGGCAGGAGCCTGGCCGGCTGGCCGCTACAGAGCCTCTCTGGGCCCACGAGCCCTGCCTCGGACATCCAGCCTGCCGGGTCAGAGGAAGCCCAGGGCGGGCCCTGAGGAGCACGGGTGCCTGAGTGACCGTGACCACGGCCTGGTCCCACGCTCTGAAGCCCCACGGCGTGGCCAAGCCTTGGCACAGCGGGGAGGGCGTCTGCCTTGCTCGCAGCTAACTGGGATTCGCGCCCTGCCAGGCCAGATGGTCCCCAAGCACCGCCAGGGGGTGAGTCCCCAGTGCAGAGCCAGGAGTCGGCCCTGTGGCCCTGCACCCTGGGAGCTGGGTCACCTGGGTCACCCGTCCTCAGCCCCAGCGTTCAGCCTCCGAGACCAAACCCAAGATGCGGGCTTCTCTCTGGTCCTGCCTGCTCCGCACCTGACCTGCCCCCCCCATACACACACACAACACACACACACACTCGAAGGCTCACGTGCCCCTCCCAGCCGCCCGCCGGCGTCCTGCCTCCTGCCCGCGTCCTCTGCGCATGCGCGCGGGCCGGCGGTGCCACCAGCCAGGGCCGGGCGAGCCGGCGCGCCCTGGCACCCTGTCAAGGAATTAATTGAAAAATAAAATCATTAGGTGGGAACTCCAGAAATGCAAAACCGGCAGTTGGAGGGGGCCGGGGGTGGGGTGGGGAGCGGGGCAGGACTGGGGGGTTGTTGGGGCAGGCTGAGCTCTTTGTCAAGTTAATTTCTCGGGTATCGATGTTGGGTGACATTCACTTGTTGTTTATCTCCGGGCGCAGCTGTAAGACGGGAAGAAAATGCACAGCTTGTTCCGTTTATTTATCTTACACCTTTCTCCGCTCCCGCATTGTGTTTGTTTGGTGAAAACCCACCGAGGCTTTTGATGTCGGCAACGTGGGGCCTCGGCAGCTGCTCCCGGAGTGCGGGGCGCGGCCGGGCGGGGGCTGCGTGCGGGGCCTTGGCAGCCGCCCGGGGCGCGGGGGCCTGTTGGGACCCCCAGGGCGGGCCGGGACACAGGGTGACCGGCGGCTAGAGGGACCCGTGGTCCACGCACGCGCCCACCGCCTCCCCCGGCAGACGGCCTGCGTGTTCCCAGCCTTCACGCTGGGGGCCCCGAGGGCTGGGCTGGGGTCTCCGCTGGGCCTCGAGGAAGCAGAGTAGGGGCCGTTCACCTTCACCAAGCGCCCAGGGTGAGGCTCATGGCCCCGGCTGGCACGGTCCGGTCCCGGCTGGCACAGTCCAGTGGCCAGTCCCTTAGGGCCCGGCTCCTCCCCGGAGGCAGCCCCAGCCCTGTTTTCCGTTTGTTTCCTTCTCTATTTGGGGTTTCCGGGCCACCCGACAGTGCTCAGAGACAGCTCCTGGCAGGACTCAGGGCACCCTGCCAGGTGCCAGGGATCGAACCCAGGTGGGCTGCCTGTGAGGCTAGCACTTCGCCCAGGCCCTGTCTCTCCAGCCCTGTGCCCAGTTTCAGTTCTCCCCCACTGCCCCCAGAGGCAGCCCTGGATATTCCCCTCCCCGGCCTTGGACAGAGGAGGAAACTGAGGCACAGAGAGGGGTTAGCTCACCCCAGAGCGCCTGTGTTCCCTACATGCAGTTCCAAACACTGTGCAGTAGGGGGCGCTCGGGCTGCTGTTCCCCCTGTAGCCCGCCCCCTCTTGCTCCCCTCTGTTTTTGTTTCCTGCTGGAGTCCCACAGAGCAGAGCCAAGCTCCCTTCCCGGCGCCCCAAATCCAGCCGGCACTGGGGGACAGGGCCACTCTGCACCCAGGAAGGCAAGAGGAAGAGCCTTCTCTCCCAGGGGTGGGGGGGCGGGGGACAGGCGCTTGGTGCCACTGCATCCTGGCCGCGCCCAGGGGGCACTCCTGGGGGGCGGGGGGGTCTCTCTGAGCTGGGGTCTGGGACCTGGGTGCGAGGGAGATGGCTGTCTGGTGAAGGACAGTGTCCTCCGAGCCCTGCGACCCAGGGTCAGTGGTTCAGGGACGCTGCATCCGGCTTCCCTGGGGTGGGGGCGGGGCGTGGAGGGTTAGGCTCCACGTTTGGCGGCCCCGGGGCCCTTCGTGTGTGAAGTGGGGAGCTGGGGTTTGCGTTACCTCTCTGCCACCCCAGTCTGCTTGTCTAGGATTAGGCGCTTGTCCCCAGGGCTCGGGGCTGAGTCTCCGTCCCCTCCAGCACCTCAGAGAGAGAGAGAGAACTCCTCTGCAGCCTTCAAAGCCCCAAGCCAATGACCCCTGTGCCCCAGAGCCGCCTCTGGCCGTCCTTCTGTTTGGCTGCCTCCGGGGCCCCGGGGTATCCCCGCACCCCTGACACGTACACATTCCGCTGGGAGGAGCCCAAGCCCCCACTCAGCCGTGGCCCTGCTCCCCCTCCCCTTCCTGCCCTTTCTCTGGGTGGGGGGTGGCACCCGGGACTCGCCCCCAGCCCCCCTCTCGGCTCTCCCCTGCCCGCGCCCCTCCCGGGCCCCCTTCCCTCTCTCCCTTCTCCTGGGTGTCCTTTGCCCGCCGGCGCGGCCCTCCCCGCCTCCCCACCGCCCTCACCCGCCTCCCAACCCTCTCGGCTGTTCTTTTCTCCTCTCCCGCCATCTGCGCACCCGCAGAGCCCCCGAAGAAAAAGCGGTCTGTGGTGTTGGACGAGATCCTGGAGCAGCTGGAAGACAGTGAACACGAGAGCGAAGAGCCCGGCCTTCAGCTGCAGCCTGGCGCCGGGCGGGTAGGTGCCCCGGGGCAAGGGTCCCCGGGTCGGGAGCCCCAGCCTGGGCCTTGCCACCTCCCGGGCCTTCCAGGGCGCTGGGCAAGGGCTGGGCGTGGAAGGCCGGTTCCAGAAGCTTCTGTCCTGCTCTACCTCACAGGCCTGCTGAGCTGCTGACCACCCCAGCATGTCCGTCCGAAGGACCCCGCGCGGCCTGCACGTGGGACCACGCCCCTGCTATGCTCGGCCAGGGACCCCTGCCCCGGACCCATCTCTGCGCTGGGCCCCCGACTTGTCACTCACGGGAGGATGAGCCGTGCCCTGCCCGGTGCCCCTCCAGACTCAGGGTGCCTGCGAACCCCACTCCAGCCTGGAGCGGGGCCTCCCCCGTGAAGGGGGTGGGGAGGAAGGAGGAACTGGAGCCAGCCCGGACACAGCGTCTCCCGTCCCGTGGGGATGCTGAATGCGTCCGTTCAGTAAAGATGGGACAGCCTGACCCGACACAGGCGCGGGGCCGAGTCTTGTCTCTGCGTGTGGGGGGTGCAGGCGCCCAGCGTTCAGACGGGAGGCCGTGCAGGGTCATCGTTTTCTGGGGTTCCTCCTGGGCCCTCACTGTACCCCGAGAAGTCGCAGGAACGAGACAGGCCCAGCGGCTGGAACGGGGAGGACGTTTGCCTTGCACACAGCCAACCCAGGTTCGATTCCCAGCATCCCATACGGTCCCCCAAGCACCGCCAGGAGTGATTCCTGAGTGCAGAGCCAGGAGAAAGCCCTGAGCATCGCTGGGTGTGAGCCAAAAAGCAAAGAAAAAAAGACAGGCCCAGAATGAGGGGCTCCCGGGGGCACGTGCACTCTGCTTCCCGCAGCCTGTCCTCGGGGTCACCTGCATCCTGTACCTGAACTTCTGTGCCACCGAGGGCGGCCTGGGGGGGGCAAGGAGTCCTGGCAGGGGACCCTGAGCCTGGGGCCGGGCCTTCCTCTTCCCATCTTCCATCCCCTGGAAGAACGATGCTGGCAACACCCTGTGGCGCAGAACCCCCCCAAGTCCCTGTTGCAACCCCCAACCCCCTCCCATCACATGTGCGGCCCCCACTAGGGCGTTGGGGAGGAGGCCCCTGGGATCGTGTGGTCAGGTCTGAGTCACTGCAGCCGGAACATTCTGGAAGGGGCTCCAGTGGTACATGTGAGCCAATGGGACGTGGGGCGGGGGAAGGAGTGGGGGAGACTGGGGGGAAGTGGGGATCCCCTTCGGATCCCACACCCCCTAGCCTTGTCTCGTGGGTGGGCGCTGCGGGGGAGGGGTCCTTTCTCCCACTTCCGGCCGACCCCTCCAGCCAGGGCCCCCCAGCAGCCCTAAACCAGGGGCGTCCCCAGGCTGGCATCCTTGGGCACAGGGCACAAGGGGGCTGGTGGCCGCTCCGCTGGACTCAGGCTTGCGGTGGCTGTTTGGGGGCGGGGGGAGGCACCAAGGGACCCCCTGCCAGCGGGGTTGTGATCAGGCTGTCGGGCAGCTGAGGGTGGGGGTCTCAGCGGGGTCTGGGGTGCTGCCCCGCCCCCTGGGCGCTGAGCGGTTCACAGGCAGGGACTGGCGTGGCCTTCTCGGAACAGGGTGAGCGAGCCCAGGGACCACTGGGGTCACCGCGCGTTAGGGGTGAGGCCGGCCCTGCCCCACCCCTGGGTGCCAAGGCGGGACCTGGCGGCGTCCTGCGGCGTCCGGGCGGGCCACAGGGCCTGCGCTCTGCTCGCTCTGCGGCATCCGGTGGATTAGAGCGAGCTGGCGTGCGGGCTTTGGAGAACAGTCGGCCGGGTTTCAGCATCTAATTCAATTTGTTCTGCCGAGATGGAGGAAGGGGATGGGTGCCAGTCAGACGGCGGAGAGCGGCCCGGGAGGCGCGGCGGAAATGCAGATGTCCCTGGAAACGGCTCTAAAGGCCTTGGGTGCCCCCACCCCGCCCCGCGTGGAAGCACCCGGCCTCACAGGGGCCAGGCTCCAGGCGGGGTGAACCCCAGCTCCCCTGGGACCCCTCACCTGCTCGAGACATTTGGTCCCCACCTCCCACCTCTGCACTGTGCATCATCCCATCCCGTACCGGAGTGCTGGGAGGAGCCTGGGCTTGCTCTCGTCACCCCTGCACAGGCAATACCCTCTTCTCACCCCTGCACAGGAAGAGTCCTCCCTCCCCTTCACAGGCAACATTCTCCTGCACAAGAAACACCCTCCTCCCTCAACCCTACATAGGTAACATTTTCACCCCTGCACAGGTAACATCCTCCTCACCCCTGCGCAGGAAGCACCCTCCTCCCTCACCCCTGCGCAGGAAGCACCCTCCTCCCTCACCCCTGCGCAGGAAGCACCCTCCTCCCTCACCCCTGCGCAGGAAGCACCCTCCTCCCTCACCCCTGCGCAGGAAGCACCCTCCTCCCTCACCCCTGCGCAGGAAGCACCCTCCTCCCTCACCCCTGCGCAGGAAGCACCCTCCTCCCTCACCCCTGCGCAGGAAGCACCCTCCTCCCTCACCCCTGAGCAGGAAGCACCCTCCTCCCTCACCCCTGCGCAGGAAGCACCCTCCTCCCTCACCCCTGCGCAGGAAGCACCTTCCTCCACCCCTGCATAGATAACACATTCCTCATCCCTGTACAGGAGCACCCTCCCTTCCTCACACAGGAAGCACAAATAACAATCCCCTCGCCCCTGCACAGATAACACCCTCTTTTCGCCTCTGCAGAGGTAACTCCTTCGCCCCTGTACAGGCAGCATTCTCCTCGCCCTTGCATAGGAACCCCTCCTCCCTCGGCCCTGCACAGGAGACCTCTCGGACCTTCGAGGTGGGCTGTGCTTCTCACCTGGGCCCCGATTCACACCTGGGGGGAGGCCTGGAGGAGCCTCCTGCTCGAGTCTGCAGGCAGCCAGGCCCAAGGGGTCCTGCCCAGCACCTTTCTCCGTGAACGCACACAGGATCATGGGTGCTGGGGATCAGGCTCAGGCCGGTTCCGTGCAAGGATGCGCCTGAACCTTGGTACTATCTCCCGGCCGCTCTCTCCTCCAGTGACAACGCGGAGCTTAAGGTCTTGGCGCAGGCGTGGGGGACCCCCAGGCACCCCGAGCTCTGGGCTTGTCTCCAGGCAGCGACGGAGTTGCCTCCTGCCAACGAGGCCTCTTCTGTGGGGTGAGGGCCCAAGGGACCCTCCCTGAGGAGGTGGCCGGTGAGTAGAGCGGGTGGGGAAAGATGGGGGGGAGGGGGTGGCCGGGGCTGCTCGCGTGGGACGCAGGCGCACCTGCTGGGGAGGGGAGCAGACAGGTGCGGTTCCCGGCCCGTGTAGTGGGGGTGGGGGCGCCCCTGTGACACTACAGTTGGGGGCCAGGAGGAAAAAATGAGTGTTTCCCCCGAGACCTTTTTCGTGCGAGAAGCTGGGGGTGCCCGTGGGCTGTGAGCGGAGCTGGGAGCCGGGGCACCCGGAGGTCGGGGGAGAGGGTGAGACCAAGGTGTGATGGGAAATGTCAGATTCTCTGAAGCAAGGTGGGGTGACGGGGGGTGGTCAGCCCCGTGCAGACCCAGCCCAGTCGTTGTAAGCTCAGTCTGAAGAACCTTCTAGATCCAGTTTCTTCTGGGCCCTAGACTCCTTCCACACAGTACTCATGCAGAATTGCTGCAAAAAAAAACAGCAGGAGGGGGGCCCGGAGTGATAGCACAGTGGGTAGGGCGTTTGTCTTGCACGCAGCCGACCCGAGTTCGAGTCCCAGCGTCCCATATGGTCCCCCAAGCACTGCCAGGAGTAATTCCTGAGTGCATGAACCTGTGCATCGCTGGGTGTGACCCAAAAAAAGAAAAAAAAAACCACACAGGAGGGGTCTCATCAGGACTGGGTGGCCATTGGGGGCCAGGTCTTGAGCCATCATCCTCTCACTTCCCTCCACACCGGAGAGCTTGGGGGAAAAAATAAAACCCTGATCTAGACGTGCCTCCCAAGGGCAGGATGGAGAGTTCCCGCTCTACGGAGGTGGTTCTCGGTGGCCCACAAACCTGTTTTTTAGTTGGAGTTTTATTTTTCAGGAGCGTGGGGGTGCATGGCTAGCCCAGACAACCGTAAAGGGTCACCTCTCCCATCATCCCAAAGGCTCCCGAGGCAATCAAGTGGGTTGGCCTCCAGGGACGGAGGGAAAACGCAATAAAACACGAGTGGGAACGAGGAGCATGAAAGACCCAAGGCGGGCTCTGGCCAACCACACGCCCGGGGGCCGCGCTTGACACCCCTAACCCTGCCCCCCGCCCCAGTCTGTGAAAATAAAGTTTTATCAGCAGTACAAGGCCCAGCGCTGCTGGAAGCACTGTCCCACCTCAGTTCAGGGCCAGTGTCCACTCAGTGCCTGAACCCCCTTTTGCTCCACACACACGCACGCGCGCACACACACACACACACACACACACTCCAAGCTGCCTCTGGGCCTTGCCAGGGCCGTCCTCCCTGCCAGCCCCCCAGTGGCCAGCACTGCCCAGGGGTAGCTTCAGGAGTGGACCCTGCCACAACTGCCGTGACCCAGGCCAGCCCCTGCCTGGCCTCCAGGCCTCAGTTTCCTCAGCCATCCCCAGTGGTGCCAGCTCCCAGGGGGTCAGGAGTGAGCGGGCTTCAGCTCTGCACGCTGTCCATGTTACTGCCTGTCCCTGCGGGCCCCTGCCCTCGCCCCCATCATCCTCGGACACCGTGTCTTTGGGCGCCGCCCCCAGCCTCCTTACCAGACCCCTGTCCCCAGAAGGACACTCTGGAAGGCATCTACGGGGGTGCTGACCTGTCCCTGGCGGAGTGGCACCTGCTTCTCTGGGACGATCCGCCACCTCCCCTCACCTGGGTCCCCAAAACCTTCCCTGCCACAGTATGGCTGCCCGCGTGCGTGTGTCTGCCTGACCCTGCAGGACTCCACGCCCAGGACATGACAGCAACGTCACACTGAGAGTGCTGACACTGACCTGAAACTGGCCAGAATGACACTGACCTGACATTGACCAGAGTGACACTGACCAGCGACACTGACCCGAGACCGGCCAGAGCCTTATGGTGGGCTCTATAGCTGGTCAGTCTGAGACCACTCCCGGCCCCTTGGCTTTGGGGATGAAAGCATCACCCCTCCATCCGAGAAGGGCAGAGTCCCTGCGACGGTGCTCAGGGAGCACTGGGACCCAGGGTGGGAGTTGGGGCCCAGCTGCCTCCCAGGTTCCAACTCAGGGGTGTGACTGCCCAGCCCCCCAGGATTTTCTGGCCCTCGGGACACTGGCCTCTTTCACTCCACCCTGTGAGGGTCCAGCCAGCCACTTGGACAAATCCCCAGTGGGCACCGGGCGGCCCCAGAGGCGAGGAGCACCAATGAGATGCAGCCCCGTCATCACCTGGGC